TTATTGCAGATAATGAAAGCACAGGGCATGGGGATAATATAATGGCATGTATAGACGATGAGCTAGCTACCAAGAAACAGTGATTAGGAATAAATGGTAAAATAAAACAAAGAACTGCAGATCCTGGAGATCTGAAACAAAAACAGTTAAGTTTGAACAAAAACAGTTAACAGCTGAGTTAAAGTTTCGAGTCCGTGGACTCTTCATCAGAAGACGAAGATGATGAAGAGCCACCAGACTTGAAATGCTAACTCTGCTTTCTCCTCACAGGTACTGCCAGACCTCCTGAAATTTGCCTGCAATTTCCAATTTGGTCAGAAAAAAGTGATCTTTTTTCAGCCTGGCAGGATGTCACGGGTGGTGTGCCACAGGGGTTAGTGCTGGGACCTCACCTTTTTACAACTTTTACAAGTGGCTTGTATGAAGGGACTGAAATATGCTAACTAAATTAGAATTAGAATTAGAATTAGGTTTATTGTCACGTGTACTCAAGTACGGGAGTACTGTGAAAAGCTTGCAATGTCGCCCCTCATGGCGCCATCTTCAATACAAAGTACCTAGGTCCAAACCTTAGATGTGAAATAAAGAAATAAAGAAGAAAAAAAAAGTTACACTACCTTACAGTGATTCATATCTTAAGTCTTATTTTCTATCTTCAGGTAAACATTACATTGCAGTAGATCAGTGCAGGAGCTTCCACAAGCTGTCTGACTGCTGCACCCATCCCTAGTCCAAAAACCATCCCCGCTCCGCTCCATGCCTCTAGCCCACTGATGATGCAATGATAGTTAGGAAAAAGGATTGTGAGCAGGGCATAAGGTACCTACAAAGGGACAGAGATAGGTTGAATGAGTGGGCAAACATCTGGCAAATGGAGTACAATGTGGGAAAATGTGAAATTGTCCACTTCAGCAAGAAAGAATAAATAAAAAGCTTATTAAAATGGTGAGAGGCTGCAGAACCCTGAGGTGCAGAGAGATCTGGGTGTCCTAGTGTATGAATTGCAAAATGTTAGTAGGCAGGTACTGCAAGTGGTCAGGAAATCTAATACAATGTTATGGCTTCTTGCAAGGGGAATTGAAGAGGTGGGAGTAGAGAGGTTATCCTTCAGTTATACAGGGACATCAGTGAGACCTGCATCTGCAGTGCCCTGTATAGCGCTGGTCACTACTTTTTCTTCTAGGCTGCTTGACGACATGCACACACTGCTCTTATGTTCTGTGCAAGGTGATTGCTGTACTGCTGCATATCGCAGCATTGATGTCCAGTTCCTGAAGTCACTGCCATGCATTTACCTTGGAGGTCTGCACAGAAGAAAATTAGAGGGAATGCTGCTGGTCACTGTACTTAAGGAAGTACATTAATACATTGGAAGCAGTTCAGAGAAGGTTTGCTAGACTAATGGCTGGAATGAATGGTTTGCTTTATGAAGAAAGGCTAAACAGTCCAGGCCTGTATCCTCTGGAGTTTAGACGTGTTGACTCAACTGAAACATATACAATCCTGAGGGAACTTGACCAGTTGGTTGTTGAAAGGACATCTACTCTTCTGGGAGAATCTAGAACTAGGGGCCTTAGTTTAAATATAAGGGGTTGCCCATCTGAAACAGAGATGAGGACGTTTTTTTTCTTTCAGAGAATTGTGAGTCTTTGGAGTTCCCTTCCTTGAAAGGCAGTGGATGCAGAACCTTTAAATATTTTTAAGGCAGAGGAAGGTCAAGTTTTGATTACCAAGAGTTTGAAAGATTACCAGCTATGAATACCAGGCTCGAAGGGCTGAGTGGCTTACTCTTGTTCCTTGTTCATATATGTGTTTGTGCTTGCTTCAGATTTCCAGCATCTGCAATATTTTAACTTTATTTAGTTGAAGTTAATCATTTGTGGTAGATCGCAGCCATTTCCAAAATGTGTTGTAGTCTCCACTTCAGAATTTACACTTATCAGGTATTTCCCTATACACAGATTTTGATCAAATGCACAATTGCACACTTGTTTGCAGCTGCTACTTCTGCCTGATTGAAGTTACGTCTTAGGGTGATCTTTTGTAATTTAAGGCCCACTCAAAATAAATTTATTTAAGGGATAATTAAGGACACAAGCTATATTATATCTATAAATTACCATGTGTTATGCAATGTCGCAAAGCATTCAAATTGGCTGTATTTCTGATTAAGGACATGATCTAGGTAGAAATTAGACTTTGTTATGCTACTTGAAACAATCACAGAAATATTGAGGTCTACAGCACAGAAAAAGATTCTTTGACCCATTGCAGCTATGCCGATCAAAAGCAAACACCTAACTATTCTAACTAACCTCACCAACAAGTGCAACAAGAACTAATTATGTAGAATAAGACTAAGTCTGATCTGACATCAGATTGCAAGTGCCCCTTGTCTATTCTAAAGCATACATTAGGCCCCATAAATACATAAATGGGGGTCTTATGCTAGACCTGATCCGTTAACTTGAATTCAGATGAAGGCAACAACATCATCACTCATCACTGTAACCTCAACTTTTTATTTAAGGAAATATAATTGTAGGACTGTTCTCCCAGACAAAGGAAACATTCCAAAATGCTTCACAAGAGAATTATTAGCAAAAGTGAATATTGATCCAGAAAGAGGGCAACTCTCGGAGGGTGGCTAAAAAAATTGATTAGAAAATGTGGGTATATAAGTGTCTTAACTGAGGACAAAATGGTGGATAAATCTTTTAAGCAAATTCCAGCCAAAAGGTTGAAGAATGTGTGCATGTGGGAGAGCGGAGATGAATGGAAGGTAATAAAGGAGGCTGGAAAATGAAGAACGTAGAGTTTTGAGCTGGGTAATGATTTAAATATTGGGAGAATAGAGGTCATGAAACAACTTAACCAGGAGGGTGTAACTTTAAATTTGGGGCATTTTAGGACAGGTAGCCAATGTCAGCATACATAGGGGTAATTTGTGAACAAATCTTGGTACGCGATAGGATTTAGGAGGCAGAGTTTTCAATGAATTGAAGGAGGATGGGGCAATGGGAAGCTGGTTTGGAGGCCATTGGAATTTTGAGATTGAAAGTGAGAATGGCATGGATGAGTGCTTCATCAGCTGATAGGTTGAGGTGATATGCAGGTGAAAGGAAATTAGGGGTACACGTATCAAAAGTACAGCTGTAATTATGAATGATGTCATTCTGCATATAAAAACCAAAAGAACTGTGGATGCTGTAAATCAGGAACAAAAACGAAGTTGCTGGAAAAGCTCAGCAGTTCTGCCATCATCTGTGAAGAGAAAATCAGAGTTAATGTTTCGGGTCCGGTGACCCTTCCTCAGAACTGATGGTAGCTGGGAAAATGTCGGTTCCTATGCAGAAAATAGGGAGGGGGATGGGGTAGGAAGTAAACGATAGGATAAAACCCGAAAGAGAGAGAAAAGCAATTGGATAGACAATGGAGTTGATAACGATCTGGTTAGAAGGGTGAATAGTTGTTAATGGGGACTGTTAGTGACTAACAATAGGTAGTGTGTAATGGCAGGCTATGTGATTACAAGGCCTGGTATATGTGGTAGAGGGCTAGGCCATGGGAGAGCTTAGGCCCTAAAATTATTGAACTCGGAATTGACTCCAGAGGGCTGCAGGATCCCCAAGCAGAAAATGAGTTGTTGTTCTTCCAGCTTATACTGAGCTTCACTGGAACACTGCAGCAAGCCAGAGACAGAGATGTTGGCCAGGGAACAGGGTGGTGTGTTAAAGTGGCAGGCAACTGATAGCTCAGGGTCTCTGTTGTGAGCAGAACGTAGATGTTCTGCAAAGCGGTTACACAATCTACGCTTCTTCTCCTCAGTGTAGAGGACACCACATTGTGAGCAGCGAATGCAGTAGACTAGATTCTGGAAAGTGCAAGTCAAGTATTGTTTCACCCGGAAGGTATGTTTGGGCCCTTGGATACTGGGGAGGGAGGAGGTAAATGGACAGGTGTTTCAACTTCGCCGGTTGCAGGGGGAGGTGCTGTAGGGCTGTGGGGGGTGTTGGGGTGAAGGAAGAGTGGACCATGGTGTCCTGGAGGCAACAATCCCTGCAGAAGGCGGACAAGGGAGGGGACGGAAATACGTCGTGGTGGCATCTCCCTGGAGGTGACAGAAATGGCGTCTGATGATCTTCTGGATGTGGATGCTGGTGGGATGGTAGGTAAGGACAAGGGGAGCCCTATTGTTATTGCAGGAGGGAAGGGAAGGGGTGAGGGCAGAAGTGCGGGAGATGGGCCGGACCTGGTTGAGGGCCCTGTTGACAACAGTGCTGGGGTACCCCATTATTTAAGAAGGGAGGCAGAGAGAAAACAACAAATTATAGACTGGTTAGCTTGATGTCAGCGTGGGTAGAATACTATAGTTCATTATAAAAGATGTTACAGCAGAACACTTGGAAGATAATGACAAGCTATGACAGACCATGGCTTTACAAAGTTGTGCTTGACAAATTAGTCAAAGTTAAACAATAATATCTGCAACAAAGTTAGAAACTGAATTGATTTCAGACATTGTATGTGTCTCAAAAATTGAGACCTGTATATCTACAATTTCAGTATATAATGATTGAATAAAGCTTTTAAACATATAGATCGTACATTTTGAAAATTCTCTGGAATTATAATTATTATTATCAAATATCCTTAGTTCAAATGATAACATATTGAGAATTTCTGGCACCTATCATTTGCTTCATGAACTTTTGAATGCGCTTTGTCAAAAGTAGTCAGTTTATATTGCACACTGACTTCAGAAGTGGACTATAAACTTTCCACACCCATTATGTAAACAATCATTTTGCAAGATTTTTTTAGAGGTGTATTTTCAATGACAGAAGATATTTTCATCTTTGAACTTAAGATTTCAAAGTGCTGAATTCAGAAGTTTTATGGTTTATTTGGACATCTTCTGTTATGTCATTTGTATTATCTGGTTGAGTTAATGTGGTGATAACATTTTCTTGATAGGTGCTGATTGTTTGTTTAGTTGTTGTATCACTTGGACTTGGACTTGGACTTGGACTTCACCAAAAACCTCAGCAGCCTCCTGCTGCAAAAACAAGTGAGTTTTGTTTCTGATTCTTTGCACAACTGTAGATTGGCCACAGCAAGAACTGAAATTTCCTCAGTGACCCAGGCTTCCCCACACCCAGGAGCCTGCTAAAAAACAGCCAGCATGTTTACCTTCTCCTGTCAACCCAAAAGAATTGCTCAAAACAGGCTCCTCTTCTACATATTCAAAGGAGCTAACTTTGCAACCCCCAGTAAATTGGCATATGTATTCAATAGGAATGCGTACTAACTTTGGGATCTTCCTTGTCTAATTGATTAGCCATGATAAAACATTGCCAGTGCTCTCATGAACTGCAGTAGTATCGCATGTCAAACAGTAGTCCTCATTCATCATACACACTTCCAGCAGCAATAGCTGGATGGCAGACAGGATCTAAAGCCTTGACCGATCTTGTTATGTGTAGCCTGTGGTAATTGAGCTGATAGTAACACCCTGACTGAGGGGCACTTTTGTTTCTGGGGTAATGTCCCTACCTCTTGGCCAGAACGTTCAGGTTTGAGTCCTACCTGCCACAGAGGTATGTCATAACTTATCTGAACAGATTTATTAAATTTTTTTTTATGTTAGCCAAAATAGCTCAGTTGGGAGAGTATTAGACTGAAGGTCTAAAGGTCCCTGGTTCAGTTTGGGTTTCAGCAGAATATCTTGAGGAGAAACCCTATCCGGTCAATTCCATTTCAGTTAGGGCTCTTGCAGTGCAATAGTAGTGTCCCTTCCTCTAGGCCAGAAAGGTTCAAGTCCTAACTGCCCCAGACTGTGCCAAATCAGATCTGACTGGGCTGATGAAAAATATCTAACACCCTGATTTTGAATTAAGCCTGGACTTCCTGACCTGTATTGCTGATCATCTCATTGAATTGACTGTGTCAAGTTAACTGTTTATTTTCATACCTTCCTTTACCTTTTTTTAAATTATTAACCCTTACATGACCACTTTCCCGAGTCAAGTGTTTCACCTTTGAGAACTATTATTAAGCCTTTCACAAGTGTAACCATTTGCCAGTTTGCTCAACTGTGCACCGTTGTTCTGTCACTGATGAATAAGTTCTGTTCCTGGGTGGAACGAGGGAGCCGAAAGCCCTCTAACCCCAACCCAGTGTTGACAGCCCAAGCAAGAAGCTGATGTTTACTAACCTTGGTAGTGCCATGACTAATGGTGCCTACTAATGGCTACTGTCCAGGGGAACCCTCAAGTAAGTCATTTTGAGGAAGCCGAAGCTTATTAGGTAACACATAGCATTTGGCGTGAAGAATGGGTGGCTTTTCAGGTGGCAGGACTTTATCACAGGTCCATTAATACCAGGGACACTATCCATAGGCTGTCAAGGAGTAACCACTCACCAATCCACACCCCCAACCCCAATCTAGGATCCTGCTAAAAAGCCAGCAGGTTTACCTGTCCGTCTTTTTGTACTCCTTTGTCTGTCCACCTGCTCTTCTCTCACTTTGGGCTCTCTCCCCACCTATCGTTTACTCCTTATCCCCTCCACCCACCCTATCTTCTGCGTATAAACTGACATTTTCCTAGCTACCATCAGTTCTCAGGAAGTGTCACTGGACCCAAAACATTAACTCTGATTTTTCTTCACAGATGCTGCCAGACCTGCTGAGATTTTCCAGCAATGTCCGTTTATTTTTCCCATAGCCAATTATGCCCATTTTGGAAAGGATCATTGACATAAACAGCAGTGGGAGCTCTGATTAACTCTCCTCCAAAACTATGAGATCAGTTACATCGGTGGAAAAGAGTCTGGAATCTTCCTATGCCAATCCCAGATGGAAAGTACAATGGCCAATTGAACAATTAGTGATTCTCCAGTCTTATTCTAACTGTAGATTTGACTTCAAAAATAGAGCTGAATTATCACATTACAGTAGTATCTTTTAATTTTTTTGTATAATGATTACTTAATGTTCCAGTGAGCTGCAGAAACCAATGCTTTACACCTTTTGATGAGAAAAGTAACGGCTGCCGTTGTGATAAACTCTGTACAGAAGCTAGAAGTTGTTGTTTGGATTTTGAAGAAATCTGTCTTCAGCCAAGTAAGTATAAGAAAGACAGCATTCTACAAACATAGTTTCTTCAAAGTTTCTTTCCCTTTCCCTCCTTTTCCACAATTCTAATCGAAAACTCTTCAATATTGGGAAATATTGTGGACATGTATTTTGAAATTTCTGCACTCAAAACAATAGTTTTGGATGTAAAGTCTGATTTATTAAAGGAAAATCATTTTACAGGAATGCTCGTTATAATCCAATAATGGTTTAGAGACATAGAGTTGAATCGTTGTTCCCAATACTGGATGTGTTGGTATTGGGTCAGTGTAAAATGCAAAAAAATTAGAAACCAAACCACATCAAACCCACCCATTTCTTGGTTTCATAGATGTGAGATTTTTTGATAAGTCATTCATGAAATTTCGCCATTGCTGACTGGGCCAGCATTGTTTTTACTCATCCCTGGTTGCCCTTGAAAAAGTGGTGGTGAGCTGACTTCTTAGACAAATGCAGTTCATTTCATGCAAGATTTTGACCCAGCAACAGTAAAGGTGCGATTCCAAATCAGGATGATGTGTGGCTGAGAGGGGAACTTGCAGTTGGTCATGTTTTCATGCATCTACTGCTCTTATGAATATAGTAGACGTCACAGGATTGGAAGGTATTGTTGAAGGAGCCATTAGTGGGCACCATTAGTCATGGTGCTACCAAGGTTGCTGCAGTGCATCTTGTAGATGGTAGATGGTAAACACTGCTGCCACAGTGGTAAAAGCGGAGAATGTTGAAGGTGGTGGATGGGATGGCAATCTATAACAATGAAAAGAATTGATAACAATACTGTTGTCAATCTTTTGAACGGAACTCTCAAATGTTAATGTTGATCTCTCTCTCTCTGCACCTTCTCTGCGGTTGTAACACCGTATTCTATACTCTGTTCTGCTACCTGATGCACTTTGTATAGTACAATCTGCCTGTAGAGCACACAAAACACCACTTTTCACTGTATCTCAGTAAATGGGATAGCAATAAATCAAATCAAATCAAGTCAGTCAAGAAGATTGGTTTGTCCTGGATGTTGCTGGAAATTCTTGAGTGTCATTGGAACTGCACCCATCCAGGCAAATTGAGAATATTCCATCACACTCCTGACTTGTACTTTGCAGATTGTGGTCAGTATTGGGAAGATAGGAGGTGATTTGATCAGCAAAAAGTTTCTAGCTGTAACCTATTCTTGTAGTCACAATATTTATATGGCTGGTCCAGTTTAGTTTACTAACCCTAGGATGTAGATAATGGAGAATGCAATGACAGTAATGCCATTGAATGTCAAAGGGCAATAGTTAGATTCTCTCTTGGTGGAGATGGCCTTTATCTGGCATTTGTGTGGCGTCAATGTTACGTACCGTTGTTAGCACAAACCTGGATGTTGTCAGGGTCTTGGTTACAGGCTGCTGCATCTGCAGAGTCATGAATGGTGCTGAACATAGTGCAATCATCAATGAACATCCCCACATCTGATCTTATGATAGAGGGATGGTCATTGATAAAGGAGCAGATCATTGTTGGGCATTGGTCACTAGTCTCAGAAATTCCTACAGTGGCATTTTGGGACAGAATTATTGACCTCCAACAATTTATTCTCCCTTTTGCTGGAGGTGAAGAATTAATAACCAATCTTATCATTGGAAGTGTGTAGCCTTGTTGGTGGAAAGGTGCAGTAACAAAGTTATCGCGACTATGAGGCAGCAGAGAGAAGATGGTGGTACTTACCATTGCGAATGTAAAAGGTCTTTATCCTTTTTGTGGCATAGCTATGCATTCCTCTAGACCATGGACACTGCACTGACTCAGGCGGTTACTTCAGAATTTGATGTGGTGCACAACTGGGGTTTAAATATAGTGCCTGGGATGTGAATGCCAGAAGGTCCCAGCACTGGCTAGCAACTCACTGCTGTGCATGAGAACAGCACCATGGAGGTAAATGCTAATAAGATGAGCAGTGGAGAATTGCATGAAATTACTCACTGCAGCTTTTAGAGAATAAAACCTTTCATTATGGGGAGGTGATATCCTAGTGGTATTATTGCTAGAATATTATTTTAGAAACCCTGGTAATGTCTGGGGACTTGGGTTCGAATCCCGCCACAGTAGATGGCGAAATTTGAATTCAATAAAAATCTGGAATTAAGAGTCAAATGATGACCATGAATCCATTGTCAATTGTAAGAAAAACTCATCTGGTTCACTAACGTCCTTTAGGGAAGGGAACCTGCTGTCCCTACCTGGTCTGGCCTACATGTGACTCCAAACCAACAGCAATGTGGTAGACTCTTAACTGCCCTCTGGGCAGTTAGGTCTGGGTAATAAATGCAGCCTCGCAGGTGATGCTCACATACCATGAATGGATAAAAGAAAGGTCTCCCAAAGCTGACACAGTCAATATTTGGTAAAATTCAGCTCCAGTCTTTATTGTATATGTTACATGGCAAACATATAGGGAAACATTCAGTATTATAATATTGGCAGTTGTGTTTGACCCATGCAACGCATCATCTCTCACAGTAAAATAAGCCACATAAAGACATGTGCTGTACTCAATAAAGCAGAATTCAATAACTAGGATTCTACCTTTGATCCCTGACTAACCGCAATTAGCTGGATAGAAACCTTCCAGTTTGTAATAAGGAGTGGGTGTTTGTTTCACAAATGTTGAATTCCAAAAATGTCGCTGTCTAAAAGTAAGATATTAAACTGACTTTCTGTTGCCTGTTCCAGTGCCTCAGATAAAAGTTAAAATTTCAGCCGCACTATTAATATCTTTAAGGCCCTGAACAAAACCCTTCCCACAAAAAACAATAACCAAACCAGTCATCTTATTGTTATTAATAAGGTCTCCCTCAGAGAATCACACAGCACAGAAGAGGCCCTTCAAGCCATTGAGTCTGTACCACCAAAAGTATACCACACTACACTGCACACATTAGCCTCACCTTCCTGTACTAGGTCCAGCCTGAATATCATGACATATCAGGTGTTCATCCAAGTACTTTTTAAAGGTTGTGAGGTTACCTGCCTCAACCACCCTCTCAGACATTGCATTCCAGAACCTCTCCCAACCCCACACCAATCCTCTGGGTGAAAAAGTTTTTCCTCAAATCCCTTAAAAGACATCTTGCTTTTCACTTGAAAATTATGCGCCCTTATGTTGATCCTTCAACTAAGGGGAACAGCTGCTTTCTATGCCCCTCATAATCTTACACACTTCTATTAGGATCCCCTCAAACTTCTCTACCCCAAAATAAACAAGCTTATCTAGCCTCTCTTCTTACCTGAAATACTCCATCTCAGGCAACAACTTGGTAAAACTAATTTATACCCATTCCAGTGCAATCGCATCCTTCCCATAGAGTGGTGGTCAGGACCTTCTCACTACATAAGAAATGATGGACTACATAACAAGTGTAATGATTTATTATAAATTAAACACTTTAACATCTTTATAAGTTTGATAGAATGCTTTTTACTTTTCATTTAGAATGTCAGATGCATGTTAATCACAGATTGCCATTCTAACTGTACAGTTTCTTCTTCATTAGGAAGCTGGATTAACTGAATATTTTGTAATTTAGCTGAACTCTGGACATGCACCAAGTTCCGCTGTGGTGAGATTCGCTTACCTGCCAGCCGCTGTTCATGTTCTGATGATTGTTTGGAAAATGGTGATTGTTGCACTGATTACAGGACTGTTTGTAAAGGTAAGGAGTTTCAACCATGCAAATTTTAACATTAGCCCTGCCTTAAATGCTTAAGACTGCAGTTATCCACATCGTATCTTGATTCATCTATAATCTTTTCCACCTCTGAAGTTGTGGTAACAGCATAAACCATCGTGCCCTCTGTAGACTTGCCACCTTTTTTTCACAAAAATATACTTCACTCATAAAATATAAAAATTTACATTCCCAAACATTTCAAATTGGACATTATGGAAAGTATAATGAAGTTCAACATTTTGCCATTGAGCCTGTTGCAGTCTGTGGTGCCTTAATACAATTGCGATATGTGTGATATTTACTGTATACTTTCAATGACAAGCACATAGACCAAAGAGTTCTATGAAGTTATCAGAACATTGGTGATCTATGGCTGAAAGACCTGAGAACTTCTTCAACTAGATCATGTATGTAGACTTTAAAAAGTAATGATGCTATTACTTACCTGGAAAGTACTCCATTATTGACCAATTGTCATGTAGTGATAATGAATGTGAACTATTTTAGGACAAACTAAAATTACATATCCTGTGAGGTTATTTAAATTAAAACATAAATTCAAGTCTCATTTGTGTGTGTCAAGCACTTGAGAAAATATTTGTTTGTCATCATCTGTTGTAGGCACAGTTTGAGATTATGAATACACCATAACTTCATTTAATTTAAAAGCAGTACCGAGTATGAGAGCAACTTGTAAGTTTCAAATGTTAATTTCAGTGATTTTGTTTCTTGTGTAGCGGAAACACCTTGGGTGGAAGATAAGTGTGAAGAAATTAATGATTCTCAATGTCCATCAGGGTAAGACATGCAGTAACCTGAAAAGTCCATCAGCTATTTTGTTTTGTAGAGGGAACGGAAAAATACAACTACATTTAGAATGAGAAACTGGCCAGATTACATCAAATGAAATCATTATTTGATTTACTAGCACAGTATACATTTTATCTTCTGTGTATAATCAATTTTCTGACTGTAATTACAAATTTACCCAGTTTTGCAAATATCCTGAGTGTTCTAAGTTTGCAGGGATCTAATGTGTTAACTATGATGGCACATTCATCTTTGAGTCAAAAGGTTGATTGAGGGATTTTTGGAGGTGCCATATTTCAAATAACAGGTTAAACCAAGGTCCCATCCACTCTCACCATTGTATGTAAAAGATCCTGTGACACTATTTGTAGAAGAGTTGAAGGCTGACAAGTTCATGGAAGAAAACATTTAAGTCTGAAGAGAAAAAATCTAAGTAGCAGATTGAATAAAATCGACCCATATTGAACCAGGAAGGGACAAAGTTTAAAAATGTGAATAGGGAGAATGGCCAAGGTTCACATCAGTGTAAAAATTAAGAATTTAAAATCAGCTCCATATTTGTATGCACAAAGAATGCATAACAAGATAGATGATTTAATAACAAAAATAGATGTATGTTTACCTAGCTATTACTGAAATATAAATCCCCTGGGAATACCAAAGTTAGGAACTTAGATTTAGAAAGGATAGCCAAATGGACAATGAGGTGCGTTATATCCGATTATAAATTACACAATGAAATCAGTAGAGAGAAAGAGTTTTAACCCAGAAATAAGGATATAGAATCAATGTTCTCCTAGGATTCTTACAGAGCTCAGAGGATGTTTCTCCTCATAGGAGAGTCTAGGACCAGAGGGCATAGTCTCAGAATAAAGGGGTGCCAATTTAAGACTGAGATGAGGAGGAATTTCTTCTATCATAAGGTTGTGAGTCTTTGGAACTCCTTGCCACATTCTTGATCAGGAGGGGAATCAAAGGTTATGGGGAAAGGGCAGGAAGGACATGAGGAATATTGGATCAGCCATGATCCTATTGAATGGTATAACAGGCTCGAGGGGCCAAATGGCCTACTCTGGTTCCTATTTCTTGTGGTCTTATGGTGTAATAATTTATAATTCACAGAACATTGGTAAGTTCAATTTGCAGCTCACCTGACTAAATATAAATCATAAAGAAACATAGAGAAACATGTAACAAGGATAATACAATCAACATGAAGGCATTTAAATCTTCATGTATGCTGGTCAAGCCAAATTGGCAGAAGTGACTTGGAGGATATGTTTAATAAATGTATTCAGTATTGTTTCCTACAATAATATTTTGAGGAACTAAATAGGGAACTAGCCATTTGAGACGGATTCTTGCTTTATGAGACAGTAATCAAATTGTAAATGTCTCCCTGAGGAGGAGTGATTGTAGCATGGAGGAATTTCATATCAAGTTTGACAGTGATGTGGTAAACACTGAAACTAAGGATTAAGTTAATACAAAACTAGTTGCAGTGGTAAAAGGGCAAATTAGTGGGGGCAGGTTATGAAATTAGATGGAATATATGATAGTAGTTAAGCAATGACAAATATTTGAAGAAACAATTTATAATTTGCAAAGAGTACACATTCCATTGAAAATTTAAGAAGTGATGCAATCATGGCTAAGTAAAGACAGTAAGGTTTGTATTCATGCAAAAGAACAGACTTGCAATATTACTATAAGGGGAAGCATAGCTGAGGTTTGTGAGGTTTTGAAAAGTTAACAAAGTATGATCAAGAAATTAACAATGATTACACAAATAGAATGTGAGTAAATTAGCAAGAAATATAAATCAAGATTGGAGTAACAAGAATGTGGAAAGAAAGAGATAAACAAAACTGAATGTGGCTCCTTTAGAGGCAGAGATAGGAAAAAAAGGCAAAGAAAAATGTCAGGGATGTTAAGCTAGTATTTTGAATCTCTCTTCGCAGTAGAGGAAATAAGGGAAGTAAAATTGTGAAAACCAATGAGAGTGAAAATCTTAAAGTAATTAATTATAATAAAGAAAAGGCACTAGAAAAATTAATTGGACTAACAGCCAATTAATCCTCTAGACGTGATGGCCTTCAGCCTAACATTAGAAAAATAGCTGATGCATTAGTTTTAATCTTTCAGAATTCCCTTGATTCTAGAATAGGCCTCCTGGATTGCAAAGTAGCGAACCTGACTCCACTGTTCAAAAGAAGAGTGGGGATTGGCAACCAAGAACTACAGGACCAAGTAAAATGATAAAATCTATTATTAAGGATATAGTAACTAGATAGTTAGGAAATTCTAAAAAGGTGAGGCAGAGTTAACAGTTTGATGAAAGGGAGATAGTATTGATAAATGAATGGAGGATTTTCAGGTATAACCAGAAGAGTAGATAAGGAGAAACCAGTGAATGTAGTGTGTTTGGAGCTTCAGAAGGTATTTGATAAGATGGCAGCTAAAAGGTTATTGCCCATGCTTTAACATTATGTGGTACAGAATAATATAAAAGCATGGATTGATGATTGGTTAATTAGCAGAAAACAGTAGTGATAAATATATCATTTTGTGAAAAATGGGGTAAAACTAATGGAGTGCCATAAAGATTAATCTCAGGCCTTGATTAGTTATTATTGCTGCCAATAATGAAGGCACGGAATGTAATCCTTAACAAGTTTGTTTATGATACAAAGCTAGCTGACAGTAAATTGTGAGGAAAATGCAAAGGGACATAAAAAGTTTAAATGATTGTACTAGAAAATATCAGATAGCATATGACACAGTGAAGTGCAAAATTTTTTACTTTTGTATGATAAATGGAAAAGCTGAATAATTTTAAATGGTGAGTCAATATTTTTATATAGAGGGAATTGTATAACCTTTGGATATGAACTCCAGGAAGTTAACATGCAAGTTCACTAAGTAATTAGGAAGGCGAATGATTTACCAGTTTTTATTGCAAAACAGATGGAGTAATTAACTGTTGGCCTGAGATGAGATTAGATGAAATCATATCTGGGGCTGAAATATATGGGCCCCCATGAGTAGGAATTTAGGGTGGCATGTTCTAAAATTCTCAAAGTGTCCTTACTGCTGCTTACCTCCCTGCTCCTGACCTGTATGGACTTTGACTGACAAACCCTTGTCCCATTTGAGATCATTAAGGGCTTTCCTCATCTGGCCCCAATTTTGGGCCTGGGGGATAAAAATCAAAGATTAGAAATTGGGGGATGGGATGGCTGACAGGTTACCCCAATCAGCGTTGGGACAGTAGGCAATATGGGCACCACACTTATGGACTCTTGATCGTGACCTCTCCACACACTGCGAGGCCCCCCCCTCCCAATTCCTCCATGGCCACTGCTCCCAGTGGTGCTGTTTGGACTACAGAGCTATCAACCAAGTGTTTTAGTTAGCAGCTGCTTGAAGCAACACCAACATCCCATGAAAGGACAAAGGACAATTATTCGAAGGTACTCTAGGATCTATAAAGTTGCTGACCTGGGAATTTGTTTTTCTGACTGCATATTTTATCTTGTCAGAGACCAAAAGCATTGTTTAATGGAGGCAATGGGGGTATTGACCACACTAATTCACTTTTTTTTCAGTAAGGTCTGCCAATTAACTAGGCAACAATGGGCCTTTTGCTAAGATCAAGGATGCCAGGACCAGACATCCCACCCACTGGATGCAATTTACAGTAAGCACCAGAGGGATGCAGTAGTTGTTATGAGTATTGTACCCACTCAAGGCTCAGTGGGGCATGCCAGACAGTAAACATGAGGGGAATTTACAGGAAGGGGTGACTCACGGTGGTTTCCCCCAGCTTGTACTCAATGCCAGGTCCCACAAACAGGTATTGAGCGCCTTTGAATGAGGAACCAAACAGGTCTGGGATGAATTTTAACAAGCTCGCAGTGATCTCAAGTGGGGAAGGTGCCAGAAATACCAATGAATTTTGGGAGTTTTGTTTGTAATTTGGTAGGCCAATACATCTCACTACAATATGGTCTTTTGTTTTGCAGTCTTTCTGCTAACTCTTAAACAGATTGACCAGGATGTTAGTATTGTTGTTGAATTTAGTTTGAGAAAAACTGCGATATATACCTGACAACACTATAAGTTATGCAGAAATAATATAACATCTGGTTCTTAAATTTCAGGTTTTCTCAACCACCATTGATATTGGTTTCATTAGATGGTTTCAGAGCTGAGTATTTAAAGACCTGGTATGGTTTGATGCCCGTTATTGCCAAACTCAGTAAGTAACTGAAAATCCAAACAAACTGAAAGCATCCAATGGCTGGAGTATGTGTTTACAGACAATATCATTAAATCACTATTCAAGTAAACATAGTTTTGGGTTGATATTCTGCTGTACAGCTATAGTACCCAAAGTACTAATGCATTCAATGGGATCTTTCCTATCTGTTATTTTAACCAAAGGAATAAGTAAGAGTATTGATTAATAACTTTAAAAAAAGTACAAGGTGTTACATGCAGCAAAATTTCAAGCTGTTTGTTTCCACAATTTAACATTTTCAAATCTGTGTTCTCATTAACTTGGAAATAAATACATGCAAATGCAATTTTTCAAAATGCTGGAAATATCCTTTGGATTTTTTAAAAAAAACCCTTTTGTAAAATAATTGGAATGAAAGTCTAATGACTTCTGTGATAAAATTGTATAACAAAAATGATCAATTTTTGAGGACTTGCGGAATTGAGAATTGAACCCGAATCACTGGATTTACTATGTTTTAGGAGTGCAAGTTCTTGCCAGCAGGTGTCCCTCAAGTGAATGAAATATATGTAATCTAAAACTTTGATCCTCACTTCCTTCCATTCCACTTATAAAAACTTCCTGAAAACTATTTACTTGGCCTAATCTTTGATCACATAGCTTAATCTCCTTCCCTGGGTAGAATTTTCCCCACAGGATTTGAGACCTGAGGGTAGGGTATCTCAAACCCAAACTGTGCTAGTCTTTAATCTGACAATGGGAATTTTTCCATGGGGTATAATGGAACCTGCCAGAGGTCCAGGTTCAGCGAGAGTCTATGAAGGAAGGAGAAGGTGTTGGGCTCTGATCAGACACCTTCATAGTGCCAGCTCTCTCAATCAGTTATTGAATGTCTGACAATGTGGCATCCTTCTAGTAGCCTGCAAGCAATTGTAACAGAGTTTTCCTTTGCAGGCTTCCGGCTGGCAACTACCCCATTTTTGCTGCTGGTTGAGTCCCAGTGGCAATGGTCTGAGTCCCTGAAGTAGACAATAATAGCTCACCTAAGGATCTGACCTGACATTGAGTGGGAAGGTCATCCATGAGCTTGTCCACCACATACTTAATGGTGGGTGGGGGGAGGGGGGACAGGCAGGAAGGTAATGGAGCCCCCGTCTTCATCTTCCGATTTGATTACATGTCCAACCTGCCTCAAAACGCACCTTGGTGGCCACTGTAATCTACCCTCTGTGCGAAATTGTCGTCCAACAATGATTTTTCCTGAATTGGCTAATTTGATTGGCTAGTTTATGTCTAACCAATTATAGCAGGCAGGGTCTCGAAGTGTAGGGTCAATGGGTTGTCCTCTGGCTCTAGAGAAACAGAATCCTGAGAGCAAGAGAGGAGTGATGAGGAAGGAGGATCGATGGAAGATGGGGGCAGGGATTGCACCTTAAGATAGATGTTCTCCCTTGCCAACTTCTAAGTCTTAAATGAAAATATCCCCCTCCACAGCCAGACCACCAAACTCATTCACAGGTGGCCTGAGGCCTGGATGAAGCCAAGCCGATAGAAGGACCATAATGTCTGCTTGGAACATGGGTTGTACTGGTCTGTGATGAAATCAAAGACCTGATTTTTACCTACATCAAATCTCATTCTCTCATTCAGAGTTAAAATGAAGTCCTTGTTTTGCTAATATTCTGTCAGTGTAAAAAAGGGCAAAATTCTGAGGCAATGAGATTGAGATCTTCTTTATATTGTTAACTCTGTATTAGATACTTTGAATTTATATTTTACCTCCGCTTGACCGCTGAGGCCTGCCAAATGTGGATATGGGTGAGTAACCATGGAGTATATAAGGGCAAAGGGTGGTGGATTAGGCATTGTCATTAAGTTGGCACAGGGTCTATAAGGGGCCCTGCAAATTAGTTGGCATAGACAACATGGTGGTCAGTCGTTTGGTTGGAGGGGCATGGGCTGGCATGAAGATTGTAAGAAACCATTGGTGGTTGCTAGCGGGCATAGACTGGTGTGTGTTAAGATGGATAAAGTATAGGTAGTGGATGGGAATGAGGGTATAGAGGGGTGAGGATTAGATAGCCTGATATTTAGCAAAACAACTCTGATAACCACGGTAGGCCTGTTAACCAGCCTGCTTCAGCATCTGGTGGTTCCTTGGCTACCTGCAGTCTGTATCTGTCTCTACCACTCGTGCTTCCCTGAGCCAAAAGTTGTGTCTTACGGACCACCCTTGCCTGCTGCAAGCTATTTCCCAACTTGAAGTCCCTACCTCGATTGTGAAAATCTGACCTATGTATTTCTGGGAGAATGTGGGCTGTCCTTGGAATTCTGATCATTACCCTCTCAAAAGCCTGAATGGAGAGTTAGCTTAAGATCCATTGAAGACCACAGCAAAATCCTAGAAACCGTCAGGGCCAATGTAATTAATCCTGGAAGAGCTTGGTGACCTCATTTAAAAGACGAGTGCTTTCCTCAGGATGTGACAAAATATTTTCTTAATCTTAAGGACATTAGAATCTCATATTGGTGAGAGCATGTGATCTATTCAAGCTTACAACAGTATATCAGGGTAAGCAACCACCTTTATTATACTGTCCCGTTTGTTCATTTGCCTACTTCATTGTGGGAGGACTTAAATGTCCAGGGATATGCAGGATTAGCCATGGGAAATGCAGGGTTACAGAGATAGGGTGGGTCTAGGTGGAATGCTGTTTGGAGGGGCGGTGTGGACACAAAGGGCTGAATGACCTAAGGAAAAACTATCATTTAATAACCTACCGTGGGGCAATGGGATTCTAGAGTTTCATTCTGCAAGAATACTCCTGCTGATAGTAAAGATAAGTTAACTTGTAAAATTCTGACAGGACAAAAAATGGTAAACAGAGGAAGGATGTTCCCAGTGACTGGGGAATCCAGTATCAGGATCACAGTTTGTGGATATCAGGTACATCATTTAGGTCTGAGATGTGGAGGAATTTCTTCACCCAGAGAGTGGTGAGTCTGTGCAGTTCTTTGCCATTGAAAGCTATTCAGGTCAGAATGTCTAATGTTTTCAAGAATGTGATAGTTATAGCTTTTAGACCCTAGTGGGATGGAAAGAAATGGTGGCTTAGTGGTTAGCACTGCTGCCTTACAGCACTAGTGACCTGGGTTCAATTCTAGCCTCAGGCAACTACCTGTGTGGAGTTTGCACATTCTCCCTGTGTCTGTGTGGGTGTGCTCTGGTTTCCTCCCACAGTCCAAAGATGTGCAGGGTAGGTGGATTGGCTATGCTGTAGTGCCTAGGGATGTTTGGGTTAGATATGGGAAATACAACAGTAAGGGAATGAGTCTGGGTGGGATGCTCTTCAGAGGGGTGGTGTGGACTTTTTGGGCCAAATGGCCTGTTTCCGCACTGTCGGGGTTCTGTGATTCTATGAAAGTTCAAATAGGGTAATGAGTTGAATGATTAGCCATGATCAATGGTGGATCAGGCTCAAAGGGCTGAATGATGTACTGCTGTTCCTATTTTCTATGTATCTATAGGGCAGTATGACTGACTGAAACAAGAGGATGAATATTATGTACTACTCCCACCGGCACCCCCACCCCTGACCCCAACCACCCCAGAAAGAAAATGAGCAGCCAGCTGACCAGCCTGGAAGAACTAACCACCATCGCCATCCCCAGCCTACCAGCTCTGTATGGGGAAATAAACAAGGTCCAAGAGAGATTGCTGCCCTCATAGTCAGGTGGTCACACCCTCTGCTGCCAGACAATTAGATTGGATGGCAGATGCAATAGACCCAGCAGTGCTAGCGCTCCACAGTGGGCAATGCCAGCATTGCAGGCAAGTCAGACAGAATGCCTGATGGATTTTCACTCCATGTAAGCCTGGGGGCTTTAGAATGATGTCCTTTTGTCAATTCTGGGAGGGATATGCGGGGTTGGTGTTTAAAGAATGTGAGGACGGAAAGAAAGGAGAGCTGTGCTACCTTCTCAATTTGTGGCTGGAGTGGACAAGGAGCACTCTGCAATGACAGCACCCACTTCCTCCTGCCATTATAGACACTTTAACAAAACAACCAAGAATCTCACTCCTGCCTGCCTGCCTATACCAAGCATATCTTAGCAAGGACAATATGACATTGGAGTCAATTGAACTTTTAATCAGCTCAATCTACCCTTAGTTATTTATTTACAGATTATGGTGGATTACTGATTTTGAGACACAGCCAACCTCTGTACTAAGGGGGCCAGCTCAGGCATGTGCGGGAAGCTGGTGAGCCAGCCACTCTCTCTTTATTACGTGACTCCTGCCCAAAACATACCAAATAGGGGCATGTAATATCCAGCTCCATATTTGAAGAAAAATGCAACATTGTTTAATCTTCAAACAATTTAGAAATTTTGGTGGAAGCTTTAAAGAAAAAGCTTTGCTGAAATCAAAAATCTGTTTTTAATGAATCAGAAAACCAAGGACTGTTTACGGTGCAGAAGATGGCCGTTTAGCCCATCATGTCTGTACTGACTCTCTGAAAGAGGATTTTACTTTGTGCCATACCCCCATCTAGTCCCTGTGACCCTGCACATTTTCAGGTAAATGTCTTATACTCCCCTGTTAGTGGTCTATTTGAACCTCCCTTCACCACACTTTCAGGCAGAACATTCTAGACCTTAACTCGTTGTGAAAGCATTTTTTCAATTCACTTTTGCTTTTTAAAATTAGTTTTAATTAAATCTGTGCCCTCATATTCTGTATTCTTTCAAAAAGGGGAACAGCTTCTCTCTGTCTGTTCAGTCCAAATCCATCATAGTTTTGAATACCTACACCAAATCTCTTTTGGTTTTCTTTTCTCTATGAAAGACAGTCCTAATTTCTCTAATGTATCTTTCACTCACGTTCTCCATGGCTGGAACCATTCTTGTGAATCTTCTCTGTACTCAATTTCTGCTGTCATCACTGTCTTCCCAGAACTGTATTATTTACAAACTTTGAAATTGTGCCCTGTTCAACAAGGATTAGGTCATTAATATAAATCAAAAAAAGCAAAGGTTCTAAAACTGAGTCTGGGGTCTCCACTACAAACTGTTCTTAAGGCTGCAAAGATCCATTCACTAATGCTCTTTGTTTCCTGTCACTCAACCAATTCCATATCCATGTTAATCTTACAACACTTGAATATAAATGATTCTAGACAGGTCTATGCCTGTAATGGAGCCAGCTTGATTTTCATGCATTTGAAATAAAAGCACACAGGTTCTGGAAGGTTTCCACTTGATTTTCATTGTGTGCTTTAGACAGGTAGCTCAATATATATTGAACATGAAAGACCCCTATAAAAATCGAAAGAACTTCAGATGCTGTAAATCAGGAATAAAACAAAGTTGCTGGAAAAGCTCAGCAGGTCTGGCAGCATTTGTGAAGGAGAAAACAGAGTTAACGTTTCGGGACCAGTGACCCTTCCTCTGAGAAAGGGTCACGGGACCCGAAACGTTAACTATGAAAGGCCCCAATCTGCACAATTTTATTATTTAATATTTCAAAATGACTTTTGCCACAAAACATGGAGGTGACTTTATTTTTACATGCAATCCCTCAGAATTAATCTTTAGTTAGGGCTGAAGTTTAATTTGGCAACAACAAACTGAGTAATAAGTTCCAAAATTTCACCTCCCTTTCAAAGAAGTAATTTTCCTGGATTCCTATCTTCCCTGCTTACAAACTTTAAGGGATTTTCAACATTTTCAACTGGATTTCACAATGTTGAGGTTAACTTGCTAAGAATGAAATCATTTCTAACTGTACCTTGTTGCACACAAATTTCAGTGATTCAACATTATTTCCAGTTGATACATTTGTCGTTTTAGTTTAGTGTCAGCACAGAATGATTTTTAATCCCAAGAATTCTCCATTCCTTTGCTCCAAAAATGTAGATGTAGATTACATTTGCAGGATAACTGCAGTTATGCTTTAATTACTGTACAACTGTCCCTTCGCCTATAGAGTTTAGCACTAACTCAAATGTATCATTTTGTACCATGTTAAGTGAAATATACTGAAATTACATTGTGAGACTACAACCGAATGAAAGGAAATAATATTATATCCTTTATAAATAAAATTAAACATGATGTCTTAATTTCAGAGACCTGTGGAACACATTCTCTGTACATGAGAGCCATGTACCCCACCAAAACATTTCCAAATCACTACACTATTGTCACGGTAAGTTTTGTTTTTCAGCCTCAGTGACTTTCTGTTCATGTTCTATGAAATTTGTTGCTTCAGAAATGGAAAGGTAAGCATGATAATGAAGACAAAGTAACAAGCCAGTGAGTTTTTGGATTATATCATCTGCTGTCATCAAGGCCTGAAATTAATGAGGCTCTCACTCAGCTATACTTAAACATGTTCTTCTTCAGTGAAACCTTTTCCTCAGATTTATCCCTTCCCACTTTCTACACTTTAGGGGATCTCCTCAAAATTTCTCAGAATTCACAGCTGGTCTGGGTTTGCTTGGATGATAAAAATGACAAACAGATGTTGCATTGTGCAACAGCACCTTGGAGGACTGAACAGTGCTTCTCTGTGAGCTACTGCATTTTCACAAAGTTTTGGCAACTTTTGTAAAACCAAAAGCAGGAAATGACTGATCTGTCTTTTTATAAACTATTTTAGGATTGTTTTGCATTTATAAGAAAGTGCGCTGTTTGAAGAGATGGTAGAAGCAACCCACATTAAATAGAGATATTGACAGATTTCTATTATGGCATTGTACTGAAAATATTCACTGCAACACATGAATTGGCTGTTTATTTTCCATTACATTTAGCACAAAACTCCTGAGATTTAAGAACATTTCTGAAGTAGGGAAATAGTCTTCAAGATCAACTTTACAAATGTGAACTTTGTGGCTCCTTCCACGTGAGGATTCAAGTGATACTTAGTACAAAGGAAGATGGTTGTGGTTATTGGAGGTTAATCATTTCTGTTGGAGGACATCCCTGCAGGAGTTCCTCAGGATAATGTTGTAGGGGCAACCATCTCTAACTGCTTCATCAGTGACCTTTATTTAAAGGGAATGGAGCATAAAAATAGGGACAGACAAAAAAATTGCAGATGCTGGACTCCAAGGTAGACAAACAGGAGGCTGGAAGAACACGGCAGGCCACGCAGCATCTGGAGGAAAGGAGCAGTCAATGTTTCTGGTATTACCCTTCTTCAGGAAATAGGGAGGTTTTGCTAAAACTTTACAAGGCACTAGTGAGCAAGAATATTGTGAACAGTTTTGAGTCCCTTATCTAAGAAAGACATACAGGTATTGGTGGCAGTCCAGAGGAGGTTTACTAGGCTGATCATGGATATGCAGGGACTGTGTATTAGGAGAGATTAAGTAGGTTGGGCCTGTACTAACTGGAGTTTAGAAGAATGAGGGGGAGACCTTATTGAAACAAATTGGTTGGGGTGTTGACAGGAAAGGTTGTTCGCACTTGTGGGAAAGTTTAGGACCAGGGGGCATAGTCTCAGAATAAGTGGTTGCCTGTTACAGATTGAAATGAGAAGGATTTTCTTCTCTCAGAGGGTAGTGACTGTGGTTTAACACAGAGGGCTGTTGAGCCTGGGATATTAAGTATATTCAGGGCTGAGATAAGATTTTGAATCAGTAAGAGGATCAAGGGTAATGGGAAAAAGGCAGGAGGGTTGAATTGAGGATTATTAATTCAGTTATGGTCTCATTGAAAAGTGGAGCAGGCTCGATGGGCTGATGGAAAACTATGTCTTATGGTCTTATGGACATTTCCTCTATCAGGAGATGAAAAGTGGAGATAATCACACAATATTCAGTATCATTTATGACTCTTCATATACTGAAGCAATTCATGTCCATCTGCAGCGAGACCTGGACTACATCCAGACTTGATCTGACAAGTGGCAAGGAATATTCACATTTCAGAAACATCAGCCGGCGACCATTTCCAAGACAGAATCTAGTCATCTCCACTTGACATTCTATGGCATTATCATCACCAAACTCCCTATTAACATTCTGGAAATTGCCATTGATCAAAAACTGAACTGGACCAGTCATATAAATGCTTTGGCTACAACAGCAGATCAGAGGGTGAGAGATCTGCAGTGGGTAACCCACAGTAGATGATGCACATCCACCACCTACAATGAGCAAGCCAGGAGTGTGTAGGAATACTCCCCACTTACTTGGAGAGTGCAGCTTGACACCAGACAATCGGCTTGATTGGTACCTCAGCTAATATCTTCAACATTCACTCCTTCTACAACAGACATACAGAGGTGTCAATGTGTACAAGGTGTACTGCAATAACTCACTAAGGCTTCTTTCCAAACCCCAAATCTCCACTATCAAAAAGGACAAGGGAAACAAATGTATCAGAAGTCCACCATCTGCAAGTTCCTCTCTTTCTGACTTGGAACTATATAGCTGTTCCTTCACTGACCTTGGGTTAAAATCCTGGAACTCCACCCCTAACAGCACTGTGAGTATCCCTACACCAGAACGACTGCAGTTCAAGAAGGCAACTCACCACTACCACCTCCAGGGCAATTAGATATGTTCAATAAATGCCCACATTTCATGAATTAATATGTTTAAAAAATGTATTTGCTGAAATCATGGAGATGATTTCCTCTTATGTTTTCTTGTTGAATAAGACTGCATTGGGAATGTATCTTTGTAAAATCTAACCTTAAAAATATTGGGCCAGATTTTCTGAGGAATGATGGTCACCATCAGATTGCCACTCTACTCTCTTTTATTTTATCCCATTAAGCTAGAACTTTGCATTTCTAGCAGGGAAATTCCAGTCACAGCTCCTGCAGAAGTGAGAAACATACCTTAAATCTGCCAACTTAGCATAGTGCAGGTTGGTTGATTTTGGCAAGCCATGCCCCTTTTTCAATGCAATTGGATCAAGTAGCTGGGTTGTTAGCTCTTGGCAGGAAAGTGGCTGTTGGGTCCTACAGTGGATTTTGGATCTGGCTTAAGTGAGGGTGGGTGAGTGTGGTGATATTGGGGCGGGTGGTGGGCATGTTGGGTTGGGTCAGGTCTAGGATGGGGTTAGGCACCTCTGGAGGAGCACTGGGGGAGGGGGTGAGGTGTGGTTGGGGGTATTATCCAGTAGTTACCCAGGATTTAGTCTAGGTTTTTAGTTCCTGGGTAACTGCTAATGCAATTGCCATAGAACCCTCTAAATTTCAAGATTTAAATAGATAATTTCAAGGTTCGGGGAATTGTCCATCAGAATTTTTTATTTCTTCTCAGTTTCTGCTATTGATTCTACAGGGTCTTGATTCATAATTCCCACCCATGCTGCAGAGATGACTGTCCATCAAAAAATCTGGGCAAAAGATAAATAACTACTCCTGAAAAATTGATATTGTTTATGCCCAAAGTTTCTAACATCCTACAGTACAAAGCAAAATTAGGGAGTAAAAAGCCATTGCATTGGTTAGGGGGAGCTGGAGTGGGATCATTAGAGTGGACATGGTGGGGGAATACTGGAAATTAGTCTGGATGGGAAAACAATGGATCTTGGCTCTTAAGAAACACTGGAATAGTTTCCTTCTAGAGTCTGGGACAGGCAGGGGTTCCATAGAAATCCCGTAAGGTTACAAGGATCTTGAGCGACTAGAATGGCTTTTCCCACTGGAACATGGGAACATTGGAATTAGGAGCAGGAGTAGGCAATTCAGCCCTTCGAACCAGCTCTGCCATTTAACATGATCATGGCTGATCTTAGATCTTTTTCTGAAGAAGGGTCTAGGCCCGAAACATCAGCCTTCCTGCTCCTCTGATGCTGCTTGGCCTGCTGTGTTCATCGAGCTCTACACCTTGTTATCTCGTGGCTGATCCAATCCTGGTCTCAACTCCACTTTCGGGCCTGCTCCCCATATCCTTTTATCCTGCTTTCAAAAAGGAACACATCTAATTCTTTCTTGATTTGGTTGATTGATTCTGCCTCCACTGCACTCTGGAGCAGTGGATTCCATAGATTCACAACTCTCTGAGTGAAGTCATACCTCTTCATCTCAGTTTTGTACCTACTCCCTCTCACTCTATATCTATGCCCTCTTGCTCGAGACTGTCCCACAGAGGGGAACATCTGATCAACATCCACATTAACAATCACCCTTTAGCATCTTATATACCTCAATCAGATCCCCCTCTCATTCTTATGAACTCCAGCGAGTACAAGCTACAAAGTTATTTAACCGCTTCTCATACAACAGCCCTTTCATCCCTGGAATCAACCTGGTGAATCTCCTCTGAACTGCATCCAGTTCCACCACATCCTTCCTCAAGTAAGAGCTGAACACAATGCTCCAGATGTAGCCTCTCCAACGCCTTATATAATTGCAATAACGCTTCTTTACTTTTATAATCCAGTCCTTGTGCAATAAATTCCAGGATTCCATTTGCCTTTTCTTATTATATGCTGCACACCCATTTTCTCTCAATCATGCACAAAGATGGCCAGATCCCTCTACACTAATGCACTTTGAACCTGCTTTCCATTTAAATAATAATTTGCTCTCTCCCCATTGGAATTGTCACAGCTACTACCTCCTTTTTTCACAGACTGATCTGAAAACTGATAAGTTATTAGCAATCAGATCTGTGAATTTACGTAAGTCATCTTCACAGGGGTCTCCAGACCAGCGTCACAGGCAGGAAGACTCCTGAAAAATACTGGGAGCACAATATTTAAAAGTAGCTATTATGCAGCCTGTGTTATTTAGACTTTTTGTTATAATTGCTCATAGCTGTCAGCATATGGCAGAAACTTTAATATGAAGAGATGAATTTAGTTAATCTGAAGTAAATGTATATTTTTTTTAGGGACTCTATTCGGAAACACATGGCATTGTTGACAACAACATGTATGATGTTAATTTAAACTTATCCTTCTCTCTGTCTGGTGATGAGAAAAACAATCCAGTGTGGTGGGGCGGACAGCCAGTGAGTATACTGTATACTAATTGTTTTGTTTAGTAAGAATTTAGCACAAATACATCATCGGTTCTGCATATTTAGAAATACAATTATGAGGAATGGTATGGTAACGTTCTGTCTGAATGATCACTCCTAAGCAATGTGCGTGCATTGCTATGCAGCTATGAGGAATGAGCCACCCAGGGGACAAATGCTCTAGTAGCAATCCTTTTAAGGTGCCTGCATGCAAGTGTCAATCTTAAAGGAACTGCACAGTGAAATTAAGGGAGAGGGGGAATCTTCTGAGTCTGTCCAGAGCATTTAGAATGTCAGGACATGGAACTTAATTATCCAAGAGGCTAGAATTCAGATTTCCAATGTCAGGCTAATGTTTTGGTGTGATGTTCACAGAACCTTTCAGGGGTTGAACCTTTGTTCTGCTTTGTTCCAATTACCCCCTGTTCAGTTCCCAGGCTGGAACATCTGTATGGAGTTAAGCTGGAATATGTGCAGGTTGCGTGTACATTTCTGAAACGTCAGTGAGCAACAGCGTTCAACTATTTCTGTGATGTACTGACCCTGTGCAATGCTGATTGACACTCCAAACCCATACATCTAATCTAAGGTCATGTTTCCCGAGATCGTGTTCACCCCAGTGCGTTAGGGATTAGGGGCCTCAGTGCTCCATGTACAGCTCCATGTACAATCACCTACCATGATCAGCACCTTCAAGGTTAATTATGAGGAACAGAGCCAATCAGAATTGTTAACAGAATAAAAGAGACCACACTAATGTATTACAAAGTGCTATATTTCTAAACAATGCTTGGTTCCACATTATATTGACCTCAAAGCACCTGAAATGATTTCAGGATTCTTTAGTCTTTCTGTTCCTGCTGCTTTGTTTGGGTGCTACCTAGGCATCCTGAGCTGAACTTGAGGGAGCCTGCTGACCAAACAAGCAGTTAACATTTGTGAATCACTTAAACTACCTGTGTTAACTGCACTTTAGTATCTAATCTGATTACTTCATTATCAAAGAACAAGTCCAATGTTTACAAGAATAGTGCAACAAATAACTCAGCACAACATTTATTACTAAATTAATCCATGACATGGTATCTGTGAGCAACGGTGTGCCACAAGGATCGGTGCTGGGTCCATTGCTTTTTGTCATTTACATATTGAATGTGAACATAAGAGGTACGGTTCATAAGTTTGTAGATGACACCAAAATTGGTGTAGTGGACCGAGAAGATTACCTCAGAGCACAACAGGATCTTGAGCAGATGGGCCAATAAGCCTAGGAATGGCAGGTGGAGTTTAATTTAGATAAATGTGAGGTGCTGCATTTTGGAAAGGCAAATCAGGGCAGGATTTATACACTTAATGATAAGGCCCTGGGGAGTGTTGCTGAACAAAGAGACCTTCGATTGCAGGTTCATAGTTCCTTGAAAGTGGAGTCGCAGGAGGATAGTGAAGAAGGCATTTGGTATGCTTGCCTTTATTGGCCAGTGCATTGAGTATAGGAGTTGGGAGGTCATGTTGGGGCTCTACAGGACATTGGTTAAGCCACTTTTGGAATATTGCGTGCAATTCTGGTCTCCCTGCTATAGGAAGGATGTTGCAAAACTTGAAAGGGTTCAAAAACGATTTACAAGGATGTCGCTGGGGTTGAAGGGTTTGAGCTAAAGGGAGAGGCTGAACAGGCTGGGCCTATTTTCCCTGGAGCATTGGAGGCTGTGGGGTGACTTTATCGAGGTTTATAAAATCATCAGGGGCATGGATAGGGTAAATAGGCAAGGTCTTTTCCCCAGGTTGGGGGACTCCAAAACTGGACGGCATAGGTTTAAGGTGAGAGGGGAAATATATAGAAGGGACCTAAGGGGCAACTTTTTCACGCAGAGAGTGATGCATGTATGAAATGAACTGCCAGACAAGATGGTGGAGGCTGGTACAATTACAACATTTAAAAGGCATCTGGATGGGTATATGAATAGGAAGGGTTTAGAGGGATATGGGCCAAATGTTGGCAAATGGGACTGGATTTGTATAGGACATCTGGCTGGCATAGACGAGTTGGACTGAAGGATCTGTTTCCATGTTGTTTATGACTCTATGACTCCAACATCCTGAGGAGGCATTTCTTTGACTACATTGCATAAGATTTATTTCATACTAAATCTCCCATAACAGGATATGTCTGTCATCAGCTCTGCCTCTTGCAGCCATTCACAATTTGAATTATCTTTCCCATATTGTATTGCAGTTCACATGACAGTTTGCCTAGAAGCAACTTTTGCTTTTGCAAATGTTTATTATTGTAATAGTCATTCCAAATAGAGAAATCTTATTTAAATTCCTTGTATATTGAGAGATTTTCAGAATTAGCAGAACTTCGCAGACAGGCTCACATGAGATGGCCACTAATTTTGAAAATTTACCATAGGTTTACTAAAATAGTGCTAATTTGCCAAAGTATGTATGATTGCTTACTTTGACGAAGCACAAAATTCACAAAATTACCAAGCCCGGCAGAACCAGCTACCTCGAAAAGAAGTAAAAGAATCTGAGCAGACATCCTGATGAACTGTGCAATCTGTGTCCTTAGAAGGCCCTTTAAAATTGTCTTCACATGCTGTGACATTGAAATTTATCAGTCATTGCAGATGACATTACAAAATGAGTCATCACTTAATCCTAACTCCAGAACACCACCCTGCATCAATGTGGGAACTGTTTTTATGGAATCTGGATCAGCAAAAAACTAAATCAGAATTGTTGGTCTGATAGTCTCAGCTGCTAAATAGACCAGAGGACTAGCATGGCCTGTGACAGTGCTAATCCACTGCAATCTCAAACCTGTCTCATTCTCCAGATAAGCATATTTCAACATGGACATGTAGAGATGGTGCAGATTAGACCAGTGTACAATAAGCACATGCAGCATGACTTTCAATACAGGTGCCATCAAACATGGAGTCAAATATGTAGTTGGTCCCTCACTTGCTTACAGTCAGGTTTTCTTCCCCTTCATTTTTAACTGTCATTTTGTAATCCTTTAGCCCACCAGCATTGACAAACACTACTAATTGACTCAACTGTACAGGAGACAGAGTGTTTAGAGGCATGGTGCAAAGACAATGTAGTGATTGTAACAAGGTCAGCCAGATGGACCTCATAGGTCATGGGGCAGTACGGTAGCTCAGTGGATAGCACTACTGCCTCACAGCCCGAGTTCGATTCCACCCTCGGACGACTGTCTGTGTGGAGTTTACACATTCTCCCTGTGTCTGCGTGGGTTTCCTCCAGGTGCTCTGGTTTCCTCCCACAGTCCAAAGATGTGCAGGTTAGGTGGATTGGCCATGCTAAATTGCCCGTAGTGTTCAGGGATGTGTAGATTGGGTGGGTTATAGGGGGATGGGTTTAGGTGGGATGCTCTGAGGGTCGGTGTGGACTTGTTGGGTCAGAGGACCTGTTTCCACACTATAGGGATTCTATGATTCAATAGAATATGAGTTCCCTGATCGGGGCTTTTAATCTGGTTCAACCAGGGACCCCTGGCTGACATTGTCATATACTCAAATGAGTACAGTGAAAAGTTTACAAGTCATCACTTAAGGTGTCACCTTCTTCAGTACAAGTTCATAGGAAAAAATTTAAAAAATAAAGAAACTAAGAAGTCCAGCATTACAGATCATGGGAATAAATTAGAAAATAGAGAAATAAAAGGTTAAGAACAAAATTTCTTCCAACCCAGTCCACACTAGCACTAAGCCTGTAGTCTGCACTGGGCTTTGACTCCAAACTGCACCAGGCTTCCCCTCGATGCTCTTGAGGCCAGGAGATGGGTCTGGAATCACTTCGAGGCTGGTAGTCCATGCTGATGCCACATTGGGCCAAATGTCAGCCACTGGCTACTAAAAGGCTGCCAAGCTGAGCTCAATGACTGCCATGGTAGGCCACGAGACAGTCACGTCAGGCCAAGAGACTACTATAGGCAGCCGAGAGGGCACCTTAACGGGTCCATGCTGAGGCCAAGAGTCCAAGTCTTCACTGAGGCTGGGAGTCTGAAACTGCGCAGAGGCCAAGAGTTCAGGAATAAAAAACAGAAAAAGAAATAGATGGAGCGGGCGGGCTCCAGCTGAAGCGTCCTACTCTGCCACCATCTTGGAATGATGGGATACTGGCCTCTATGGAATTATTTCACAACAATCTCTCCATCAATGTCAGCAAAACAAAGGATTTGGTTATTGACTTCAGGAAGTGGAGTGGATGGCACATCCCTGTCTGCATCAATGGTGATGAGGTGGAGGTGGCCAAGAGCTTCAGGTTCTTGGGAGAGACAATCACCAAAAATCTACCCTGGCCCATCCTTGTTGACACTAGTGTCAAGAAAGCACAACAACACCCCTACTTCCTCAAGAAGCTAAGGAAATTCAGTGTGTGCATAAAGACTCTTATAAACTTTTATAGATGCACAATAGAAAGCATCCTATCTGGATGTATCATAGCTTGGTATGACAATTGCTTTTCCCAAGTCTGTAAGAAACTACAGAGAGTTGTGAACACAGCCCTGTCCAACACACAAAGCAGTCTCCCATCCATTGACTCCATCTATACTTCTTGCTGCCATGGGAAAGCAACCAACACAATCAAAGAACCCTCCCAACCCGGTTATAGTCTCTTCACCCTTCTTTTGTAAGGGCAGAAGATATAAAAGTTTGAACACATGTACGAACAGATTCAAGAACAGCTTCTTCCCCACTGTTATCAGACTTTTAAATGGACATCTTTAATGTTAATGTTGATCTCTCTCAGCACCTTCTCGGCAGCTGTAACATTGTATTCTGCACTCTGTTCTATTACCGTGATGCATTTGTATAGTACGATCTGCCTGTAAAACATGTGAAGTAACACTTTTCACTGTACCTTGGTACATAGAATATTCATAGAATTCCTACAGTGTAGAGACAGGCCCTTTGGCCCAACATGTCCACACCGCCCCTCGGAACATCCCGCGCAGACCCATCCACCTATAAACTACCTAATCTACACACCTCTGGACACTATGGGCAATTTAGCATGGCCAATCCACCAAGCCTGCACATGTTTGGACTGTGGGAGGAAACCCGAGCACCTGGAGGAAACCCACACAGACACGGGGAACACATGCAAACTCCACACAGACAGTCACCCACAGGTGGAATCGAACCCAGGTCATGTGACAGTAATAAATCAAATCAAAATCAAAAAAAGCTGTTTATAGTTTTGTCATCCCATTGTGTGGAAGTTGCCCATTTTAATCAGTGTTTTGTCGAGCTAAATTCATAGTGTCAAGTCTGCTGTGGCTGGGAGGAGTTTTTCTTGTGTAATTGTTCACTCTTCACTTCAATAATTATGCAACCAGGTTCCTGAATGCCTTTTCTGAGAAATCAGGCAACTGGTAAACTAGAAATGCTCACCATTAATGGGCACCTATTGTGCTTTCAGTCCTTGGGCAACTTATTTAAAGCTGAGCTGCACACCACATCAAGTGCTGTGAATCAGGTTTTGCCCTTCATATTGTGAAGCTGAAGCCTCAACATTCAACCCAAAGCGTAGAGAAGAGAAGGTTTGCACCCTGCTTTGCGGGTGGGGACCTAGAGGTGTTGGTGGACAGTATAATGGAGAGAAGGACAGTTCATTTCCCAGCTGACTACTACAGGAACCCATACTATTAGATCCCAACCAACCTGCACACAAATTGCAGCCTGGGCCAGTGCTTCGTCCTGAGTGAAGTAAGTGGACTGTCTTCCCTTTGCTGCCTCATGCTCACATAGCCACCATTCACACTAACTCTCCCACTACACATATCTCTCACCAAGATTCATGGATTACACCACTCAGTATTGCATGCAGCATGGCTATTCAATGGCTCTCACCCATCACATCCTCCCAACCTACTAAGCCTTCCCATCCTCTGCACTTCCAACCCACTCACAGGGATCTCCCATCACTTCTCTTGCTCTTGCATCACCACTAACTGCTCTTCTATCTATTTCTATTATATTCAGTCCTTATCTCTGTTTATTTGAAGGTAAATGTGTACTACTCCTTCGAATCTAATTCCACAGCATCCTCTCTGACCTACCTGTAATCCCCAGACTGGTTGTACTTGATCTTCAGGACACAGCTTGGTCTGATTTATGGACTCTGATTATAGTGATTGTAATGAGGTCAGCCAGATGGACCTCATAGAATATGAGTTCCCTGATTGGGGCTGTTAATCTGGTCCAATCAGGGAGACTTGGCTGACATAAAGGGATGAATGTCAGGGATATGGGAATGCCTGACTCAGCGAGAGGCAGTACTATTGTCAAAGGCTATGCATTTGTCAATAATGGGTGATTGGTGCTGAGATGCCGGCCTCTGAAGAGTTATTTCACTGATAAGACCAAATGTTTGATTAACTGTGGCCCTGCACTAGAATAGGGCAATATTCCTTGACTGAATGTAATCCCCCTTTACCCAACTAAGGATTGCGCCCCTCTACACATAGCCATTTGCTTGAAGCACATGCAGTGTGTTTACTGTGTAAACTGCAGAGTACATGCTGTCTGACTGATAGATTGACCTTTCAGTGCCTTCCCACCATTATAGGATGCTTACCTCTCCAGCTGCACGAAAAATGCAATGCAAGCCACAGAAGCTGGTGGCTCATAAGTAAGTGAGTACGTGCTAAGTGTGTGCTACTTTCTTCTGGCCTTGGTCTGAAGTGAAAATACATGGGACATACCTAAATAAATATGTGAAATTCAATAAGTAAGTTTTTCAGTATATGCAAATAAGATAGAAAATCATGAAACAATTTGCTTGGAAAATTATGAAATAAGCATGGTTGTGCAATAATGTCAGGAACGAATATTTGAAACCCAGAAATCTATTTTTAATGCAAATGCAAATGGAGTGGGTATTAGGACTGGATTGGTGCCAAGTCAACGCAATTTGAGAACCCTTTAAAAGTGCATAGGACCAACTGCAGTTTTCCCACTCCACTCCCATTTACTGCAGTTTTTGCCAGCGTGGAACAGGGATGCATTAGCCTCCTTGCATGCACCACTCTTACCCTTCCCAGTTCCATTGCTGGGGTGGGTAGTTCTAAGAAGGGGCTATATCTACATTGCCCACGCTAAAAATAGTTGACAATATTTATAGTAAACATTCCATAAGAACAAAAGAAATAGGGGCAGGAGCAGTATGATGTATGCAGAAGTAAGGAGTTGTAAAGTACTAAGAGTGCTAAGAAAGCAAGCTAAGAGCCATAGGAGACATCCTGTGCAAATATATTAAAAATATGTGTATTCATGCAAGCAAAATGGCCTGAAGAAGTATTTAGTGTCATAGATACAAATGCAGAAAGGCTGAAGTAATGTGTTTTTGTTGGTCTGAGAGCACAAATATGATGAATTTAGTTCAATTGGCCTGTATTCACTAGAGTTTAGAAGGATGAGAGGGATTCTGACTGAAACATATAAAATTCTGACGGGGATGGACAGGCTGGAAGCAGAGAGAATGTTTTCCTCGGTTGAAGAGTCTAGAACCATGTTCACAGGCTTAGGATAGAGTGTAGGTTATTTAGGACTGAAGTACAGAATAAGGGATAGTAAACCTGTGTAATTCTCTACCATATAAAGTTGCAGAGACAAGTCACTGAATGTATTCAAGAAAGAGATAGATACATTTTTAGATATTAAAGGCATCAAGGAGTATGGGAGAAAGCAGGAATGTGACTTTGTGATAGAGGGTCAGCAATGTCTATATTGAATGGCAGATAAGGCTCAAAGGGCCGAATGGCCTATTCCTGCTCCTAGTTTCCATGTCTATGTGGTGAGACGAGTGGCTTGCCAATGACTATTTGCATGGACAAAGAGTCAAGGAGGCTAGTGCTATGGGGCATACAAGTTATCCACACAATGTCATTTTGGCAAGATTAACATCAGTTCTTAAAGATTTAGGTCCTGTTTAATCAATCACCAATAATCAGATCATTGCTGGGGCAAATTAGAGAGTTTTACTTTTTCTTTGCCTTGCTGTGTCTGGCCTGGGTGTGGTTGAAGCTGACACTGTGGACAAAGGTAGCAAAAAAATGCAAAAGTGGGAGGGCAATCTCCCCATGACCTTCATCACTAAGCTCCCCTATTATCATAATGTTCATATGAATCACTGGTTGCATAAATGTGACTTAAATGTACTTTTGTTCTTTACCTAGTTATGGCTGACAGCTATGTACCAAGGCCTAAAAGCAGGTACTTTCTTCTGGCCTGGATCTGAAGTGAAAATAAATGGAACGTACCCAAATAAATATGTGAAATTCAATAAGTAAGTTTTGTAGTATATGCAAATAATATGAAATAATCATGAAGTAATTTACTTGGAAAATTATGAAATGAGCATAGTTGTGCAACAATGGTAGGAATGAATACTTGAAAACCAGAAATCTATTTTTAATGCAATGGCAAATGGAGTATTAGGACTGGATTTATGCCAATTTGGAACCCTTTAAAAAATGTGCATCAGACCAACTCAGATTTTCCCACTCCTTTCCTGATACCTGCAGTTTTTGCCTGTATAGAATAAGGATTCATTAGCTTACTTGCATGCACCACTCCAGTCACTTCACCTGACAAAGGAGCAGTGCTATGAAAGCTTGTGATTTTAAATCAACCTCTTGGGCTATAACTTGGTATTGTATGATTTCTGACATTGCTGGGGTGGGTAGATCCATCAAAAGGCCATAGCTACATTTCCTCTTGCTAAAAATAATTGTCAATATTTCTATTAAACGTTCCATAAGAACGAAAGAAATAGGAGCAGGCTAATCAACACTTTGGACCCGTTTCACCGTTCAATGAAATCATGGCTGACTTCAACTTCAACACCATTTTCCAGCACTATCACTAAATCCCTTGTTGTTTTTAAAATATGTAAGTTCACTGATTTCAGTCTGGAACATACCCAACAACAGAGTCTCCACAATGCTTGGGACAGAGAATTCCAAAGGTTTAACATCCTCAGAGTGAAGAAATTCCTTTTCATCCCAGTCCTTGCCTGCCCCTCATTCTGAGACTGTGTTCCTTTGCTCTGGACACCCCAACTATGGGAAACAGCCTTCCTGCATTAATTCTTTTGATCCCTGTAAGAATTTTGTACGTACAAAGGTGCAATGTGTTTAATCATTCCTCATTGAACAATTGTTCTATCCCATTAAGTCATTGTGTAAATACATATGGATACTAAGCTGTGGATCAGTTCCATGGCCAATTTTTCCAGATGGTTTTAACTTACTAAATCCTCTTTAAACATGCAATGTGAAATTTGGAGTGCTTAGACAGTTTTCATGGAATTGTTATAATTAGACCATTCTAATTCTCTTGAAAAATTGTTGTCCAAATTTAGTTCAAATCTGCTGAGTTACATTGTATGAAAACTAATACCGGGCATTCTTGATTGAAGGATTATGTTGGATCATGTCTCATGGTCAATGTGTCATTGTACTTTTAAGAGACAAGCACATGGTATCATTACTGCATCATTGTATGCAACCTAGGGTAAAAGGATCTAACATTCCATCTTACCTTGGGATCATTTGAAGCATGGCAACCTATTGAAGGCATATTGTTTCCAGTGGCAAACTAATGTTTGTGTGTGGCTGTGAATGGAACATTTGTATATGATAGTCAGCTGTAAGAAACATTAGTTTCTCAGCACCATGATAACCACTCCAGTTTCTTATGTTATTGGATAAACGTATTGGTAAAACATCCTGCTGGAGGCAAACTCACACCAATATAAGAAGACATTGGAACTTTGGGAAGATATCCTTTCATCCAGAGGGTGATGGGAGTCTGGAAATTGGATGTAAACCTGCTGAGGCATCAGGGTCTTACCTGTCTCTTCCAGGTGCTCTAACTTTCTTGCCAAAATGGCAATGGCAAGGCCACTGGTGGGTTTTTCCCCAGAATCAAGACCCTTAGAGGTCATCAAATGGCTGGCACCTATTGTGCTCAGCGGCACCACTGGCACCTGTGGATAAAGTTAGAAGGAGACTGTAGATGACCCTAGACAAAGATAAATCATGTTAGGTGGAGGAGGAGTTATTTCTTGAGTTTGGCCTGAGGTAGAGTTTGGGGCAAGTGAGGCTGGAATCAAGGGCATATGGTTGGCTCCCAGCACAAAGTCTCCCGCTTCATGCCCAGTGCCTCAATCAGGCGTTAATTGTCTCTGATTGAGGAAACCCCTCATCCTGATGTGACAAGTGGCAGTTTGACCTGCCCGTGCACACTGCATGGTAACAGGCTCATTCGCAGCAAGGTTTTTTCCAGCGATGATGGATGAAGTTCTTAAGGTTTCTTCAATTGATCATTTAGGAGCCCCAATTGGTGGCAAATGGGAGTGTAAAGCATGGGCTTTCCCATCCTGAACTCAATTCTGGTGGCAGCAGGGAGCTCGTCGTGTTTAGGTAGGCCATCAATCAACTAAGTAAGAGCCCTTCTTACTTTAATTTCGCTATCTCTGAGGGGAGAAGATTCCACTTTCATTGTCTGAAAGTCTGGCAGAGACAGAAGCCCTCAAAATATTTCAAAAATATGTGGATATCCACATGAAATGCAGTAACCTACAGGCCTACAGACCAGCATCTGGAATGTGGAATTAAGCTCTGCAACAGTTTTCCTGCCACAATGATTGGAAGGCCTCCTTCTGTGCCCTAGATTTCCGTGTTTGTAACCAGAAATCTTCAAATATTTTCAGAAGTCAAGAAAATACAGTGTGCATAGGTCAATATCGGATCATGAATGGATTCAGAGAGCAGAACCTCTAAGTAAGGTTTTGTGTTCCCAGTCTCGGCAGGTAGGAAGCCCGTAAAATTCCCCAACTGGCTTTCCCGCTGCTTTCCAATCAGTTCTCAACCTGTCCAGTTTTATATGGGGTGGGCAAGGCCTTGGGTCCATTTGCCTTTGCCCTAATTGAGGCCCTAACATGGCCAATTATCCAGGATGGTTGGTTGAATTTTGGGTGGGCACTGTGTCCCCAGCATTCAGCCTATATAGCGGTCCTTTGCCCATATATTTTGTCAATGGTCCCACAGGCACCACCACTCAGTGTCCTACTAATTGCCTGCCTCTCCGTTTGTCAACCTATTAAAGATGGCAGGCAATTTCTTGAGAGCCTCAGTGAGGTCAGCCTCCAACAACCACAACAAAAAGGTGCCCTTTGCTTACGCTGAACCATCAAATTAAGAGGGCTGGAGTCAATAAGTCCATCACAGTGAAGGGACAGACCTCTACATGGGTAGTGATGGTTGCAGTCTTTCATCCTTGCAACCCTGTCATTGGGCATGAAGTCTCTGGCTCTTATGGCTGCCACGTTGTTGCTGTGAGGGCTCCTCAACTGAGCTCAGTTGCATAGAGTAACAATCCACCGCAATGGTGGGAAAATATGGCCGTTGTCACAAAATGGCTCCCTTGTGACACATTAGTTACACCAAATGACTGCCTGCCTCCATGAAGCTCATGTTCCCTGTCCAGCACTGGGCAAATCATCTAGAGCTGTCCCAAAGTCATTCCCCTTTTATTCACAATCATCGCCCTGCATTCAATCCCATTTCCAAGGGGCAGGGAAAAGTCATCCCAATCTTTGTTTCAGCACTGTATTAAACATCTCATAAATGGGAGATGATGATGTAGTGCTAATGTCACTTCATTAGTAATCCAGAAGCCCAGGTTTATGATGTTGAAAAGCAAATCTCAATTCCATAATGGCAGCTGGTGGAACTTAAATCCAAGTAGTAAACCTGGAATATAAAGGTAGTCTCCATAATGATGACCATTACAAGTGTCCTCGATTGTTGTAAAATCTATCTGGTTCAGTAATATCCTTCCGTCTGAAATGGTCTGACAAGTTGCTTAATTCAAGGACAATTAAAACACTCACATTCCATGAAAAAATTTTAACAATTTAAAATGCACCACTGCATGAAATGAAAACAAAACATCCAATCTTTCAGTGTGTAATTATTTGTATGAAAATCAAGTAGGCATTGTTACCATGTAATGAATATAATGAAGCCTAGCTGCTGGGATTTATCACTTGATAACAAGTAGCAGTGGCATTATTTACCTATAAGCCATAATGAATGCTGACAGATTTACCACTTTCTCCTCCCTCTAATGCTGGTTTAGGCAGATTACAGAGTTTGTGGTGGAGGGGGTGGAGGTTAGGTGATGCTTGTGATGTTGCCAAATTTTCCCATCTTTCAATGTACTTGGAATTAAAAACATTCAAAGTTTCATTTATTTTATTTTGTAACCAAGATATTACAACATGTCACCACTATTGGCCAGGAACAGATTTACTTCCCTCAGCAACTAACAATGGTCACCCAAAACATAGTCACCATTTGTACATAGAAATATTGGTACATGCAGGGCACATGTGAAAAATATATACTTTTTACAAAATGGATGGAAGATTTCTACTTGTTCTGGTAAACTAATGCTGAATGTCTAAAGCAAATTCCAGGCAATTCAATTCAGTCATAAACTTCTAAATTAGTTTAAATAGTTGATAGACAAGGGAGTGAAGGGTTATACAGGGATAGACAGAAAAGTGAAGTTGAGGCCACAACCAGATCAGACATGATCTTATTTGAATATAATACCAAGATTGAAGAGCTGAATTGCCTACTGCTGATCCTAAATCCTACATTCCATGCCATGCAGTAAAACATATCTGTTGAAAATTCTTTTATCTGCTATTTGAACAAATATCTGATTACATTAAATAATTTGAAATCTGCAATAAAATGGTGGACAGTGGAACGTTATTTAAAGATCAAATAATATTTTAGTTACCTCATTGTTTTTGATCCAGATTAATAGGATTTTGATACAATATTAATGTGCTTAAAGCTAAATGGTTTCATGATCAAATAATGTGTTCTGTCTGAATTATATTGCCACACCTGTGTTGCAAATCTAGATGATTGTAACTTCTACTTAATTATGTTTGAAAGAACCTAGTTAATTGTAACCAATGCATCAAAAATAACTGATGTAATCTTTTCATCTTGAGTGCTTTTACTATCTCTCCCTTTTGCCTACAACTGTTTATATATTTTCAGATCAATTCCATTTGAAGAAAGGGTATTTACTGTCTTGAAATGGCTCAGCTTACCTGAGTCGGAGAGGTAATCACTTTTGGTTATTATCATACTAACTTGTCATTAGTAATCAGTCTGTTTGCAGAATTTAAATAAAAAGTCTGTCCATCAATTGTCTGTCAATCATGAGCAATTTCATTAAGCAGATTCGTCTGCTTCCCAGTTGGCTTTGATGTCCCATTTCCTGGTTTCTCTGTTCAATTGCTTGGCACTTGCACCCAAAGCCACAAGTCAGTAGCTCTTATTCCTTGTGCTCCAAAATTGTTCTTCAGCCTCTGTTCCAAGCTATTGACCTTTGTATCCTGCCTCATGGTCTCCACACTTTTTTCAAACCATTCTACTTTGCACACTGGCCTTCTGTTTAGCTTTCTCTCCAGGCCCTGCTGTACTGTGATATCTCTGTTTCCTCTTCAACCCAGATTCTAGCTCTCCTAATCCTTCCTCCAGTCCCACGTTTCCCACCGGTTCCTCAGTTCCTCAAGCTTTAACCCTCCATCTGTATCTGTGTTATTGAGAATCTGTTTCACTGCTGCGGCCAAATGATAGTTTGTGTCCCACATTTGTCTTAATATCTCCATAGGAGAAAAAAGGAAAGAAAAGAAAAAAATCAAATAGCAGGGAGATGGGAGAATGTAGAAAGGGCTGTTGAAAGTCAGAAATGTGTGAGGAAAACAACTGAAGAAAGGGAAATATATAGAGGAGGAGGAGGACCGAAAGAGGAAAGGGTAATAGAGAGAATTGGAGATTGACAAAGAGACAGATGCCAATGCATCTAAATGTAAGAGTTGTACACCATGAGAAAGTGAACACCCCAACAGAGATGGACAGAAAGATGCAGAATGTAGGAGCCAAACCATGGAAGAGATAGTTGGAGGAAGGGACACAATTTGAGTTCATGTGATCAGTGATCATCAGTAATCAATCAGGTTTACAAAAATAGCTATTCAAATTAGAAATGTATGTTAGCTGAAAATCTCAGCATTGCTATACTAAGTGTTTGATTTTGTCAATCAGGCCAAACTTTTATACCCTATATTTTGAAGAACCAGATGGTGCTGGACATTCATTTGGACCTGTTAGTAGTGGAGTAAGTTAATTATTTGTATTCTAATTAAGTTTTTAGTATGATTAATTTACATTCATTTTTCTTGGATATATAATTAGCTTGTACGCACACATTATAGTTTTAAAATATTCAATTTGCCTCACTTGTTACCTTTCATAAAAAGTCACAATTGAAGAGTTTGATTTATGCCTTTGATATTGTTCATTATAAAATGATATAGTCATAGAGTCCTACAACATGGAGACAAGCCCTTCGGCTCAAACTGATCCATGCTGACCAAAATGCCCATCCATGCTAACCCCATTTCCCTGCACTTGGCCCATATCCTTCTAAACCTTTCCTATCCAAGATTTTGTCCAAATGCCTTTTAAATGTTGTTAATGTGCCTGCCTCAACCACTTCCGCTGGTGGTTTATTCCATATGCATACCACCCTCGGTGTAAAAAAGTTGCCCCTCAGGTTTCCATGTATTCTTTCCCCTCTTACTTTAAACTGATGCCCTCTAGTCCTCGATTCCCCAACCCTAGGAAAGAGACTGAGTGTATTCGCCCTATTCATGCCTCTCATGGTCTTATACACTTCAAAATGATCCCCCTTCAGTCTCTTACACTCTAAAGGAAAAAGCCCTAGCTTGTCAAACCTCTCCCTATAACTCAGTCCCTTGAGTCCTGGCAATATCCTTATAAATTTCTTCTGTACTCTTTCCAGTTTAATAACAACCTTCCTATTAGCAATGTGACCAAAACAGAAGACAATACTTCAAGTGTGGTCTCACCAACGTCCTGTACAACTGCAACATAACTTGCCAGCTTCTATACTCAACATCCTGACAGATGAAGGTCAGTGTGCCAAGAGCCTTCTTCACTGCCCTGTCTACCTGTGACTCCACTTTCAGAGAACCGGTCCCTCTGATAACCAAGGACCCTCTGTTCCACTACACTGCTTAAGGCCTCACCATTCACCATGAAACTATTACCTTGATGTGACTTTGCAAAATACAACACCTCACGCTTATCTTTATTAAACTCCATCTGCCATTTCTCGGCCCAGTTCCCCAGCTGATCAAGATCCTGCTGCAATTTCTGATAACCTTCCTCCTTGTCCACAATACCACCTATCTGAGTGTTATCGCAAACTTACTAATCATGCCTTGTATATTCTCATCCAAATCATTGATAAAGATAACAAACAGCAATGGGCCCAGCACTGACCCCTGAGGCACACCACTAAGTCACAGGCCTTCAGTCCAACAAGCATCTTTCCACTATTACTCTTTGCTTCCTACCATCAAGCCAAATTGAGTATCCACATTTTAACATGTTATTTCTGGTGCTGATTCCTAGATAATACTGATGCATTTTGCTCCTGAATTGTTAGAGTCTTTATGCAATGGTTTTCTTATTGTCCTTCTTTTTCTGTATGTTTTTGTCTCATCAAATATTACATTTATGATTTTTATCCTACACAAGAATCTGTAGGCACACTAATATTAGTCCCATCCTCTATCTCTTTTCGGTTGAAGGTAAAGTATTTTAATTTACTACATCTCCTTGGATGTTAATTAAATTTGCCTAATTCCCTTAAGTACTCTATTCTATCATCCCCAACATCCCATTTTTCTGGTGTGTCTTTTGACTATATATATTGGTTTCCCTTTCCCTAGCATGCAATGTGACTCTTGTGATCCTTGTAAAATTGTCTATTCCCTTTAAAAGGCTTCATATTTCAATACCTTGTAATTCAAAAATATTTCCCAAATAATAATTTTGACTAAAATAAAAGCAAATACTGCAAATGTTGAAAATCTGAAAGAAAAACAGAAAATGGTTGAGAAACTAAACAGGCATGACGATGTCTGTGGAGAGAGGAATGTTAACAGTGAACATTTTTGATTGTTTTTTTGTAGCTTAGTTTCTTTATGTTTATTCACTTTCTACTTTCAGTCAATCTCAGCCTATATCTGATTACCTTCAGGTGTTATTTTCTATGTTGGAATGTTGTTTGCTGCAAGGGGAATGGATTATAAGTGTACAACATTTTTTGCTACAGCTGTACAGGATGTTGGTGACACCACATCAGTAGTACTGTGCATAGGCTATATCTCCTTATTTAAAAAATTATATAATTTTATAAGCAATTCAGGGAAGGTTGATTTGCCTAATTCCTGCAATGGGGTGGGTTGTCTTATGAGGAAAGGTTTGGGCCTTTATCTATTGAAGTTTTGAAAATAAAAGAGATACGATCTTGTTGAAACAAATAAAAACCTGAGGGGATTTGATAGGGTGAATGCTGAAAGAATGTTTCCCCTTTTGTTGTTTCTAGAATGAGGGAACATAGTTTAAAAATAAGATGAAAATAATATTTTTCTCCTGGAGGGTAGTTGTTCTGTGAAACTCATTTCTTCAGAGACTAGTGGGAGTTAAATATTTTTAAGGCTGAGAACGGTAGATTCTTGATGGTTGTGGTGAATTAATCGTGGTTGTATACAATTAAAGGAACTAACATTGGAAATGTGTCAAATTCCTATTTTAATTTACATTTGGCTTTAGTGCTGATAATGTTTTGCACCAAAGTTGTATCACATATGCCAAACACTGGTCTAAATTTCTAATTTTGTATCGGTAACTAAAACATTTGAAAATAAAGTTCTTTCATTATCTAAAACGGGAAACTTAAAAGAACACAAGGGCGGCATGGTGGCTCAGTGGCTAGCATTGCTGCCTCACAGTGCCAGGGATTGGGTTCAATCCCACCCTTGGGTGACTGTCTGTGTGGAGTTCACGTATTCTCCCTGCAACTGGATGGGTTTTGTCCAGATGCTCCAGTTTCCTCCCACAGTCCAAATGTGTGCAGATTAGGTAGATTGGCCATGCTGAATTGCCCTTGTAGTGACCAGGAATGTGCAGGCTAGGTAGATTAGTCATGTAAATGCACAGTGGCAGGGATAGGGTGTGGGTAGGATGTTCTTTGGAGAGTTGCTTTGGACTTGATGGGCTGAATGGCCTGTTTCCATACTGTAGGGATTCAATAATTCTAAGTCATTTTCTGTATTGTCCTAAATTTCCGACAATATTAAATCTGAGTATCCCATAGAACCATTGATAAGCTCAGTTAGAGACAGAGGCCATTCAGCGTAATGTATCTCTGCTGGCTGAATGAACTAGCTGTCCATTCTGATCCCGCTTACCAGCTCCTGGACTGTAGCCTCGCATGTACAGCGCTTAAGTGTAGATCCAGGTAGGACTGCATTCTCTAGGTTGTTGGATTGAATTGTCAAGAAGTAGTTGGTGTTCAAGTGTTACTTAATTATTGGTTCATGTCTCTTGTTATTTTGCAGGTGATTGAAGCATTACAGTCAGTTGATCAGATGATAGGAATGCTGATGGATGGACTCAAACAGAAAAACCTACACAAATGTGTTAACCTCATTATTGTGGCTGATCATGGTATATCTGTTTAGTTGTTTGTCAAGAAACACTCAAAGCACAAGATGTTAAAAAAAAACAAGCCTCTAAGGTTTTAGAGTAGATTTGTAGCTCGGGTTGTGGGTGTTGTGGTTGGTTGGCTCACCGAACTGGTTCGTTGTTCCGCAGATGTTTCATTACCCTGCTGGGTAACATCATCATTGCAGCCTCCGATGAAGTGTTGTTGTGTTTTCCTGCCTGTTATTTGAACTCTGATGTCCATTGGGCTGGATTACCTCACTTCCGGTTTCCCTTCACAGTGGAGTGTATATGGGGTTGAGCTCTATGTGTTTATTGATGGCTTTCTTAGTGGAGTACCAGGCTTCTAGGAATTCCCATGCTTGACTCTGCTTTGCTTGTCCCAGGATCCTGGTGTTGTCCCAATCGAATTGGTGGTTCTCCTTATCCATGTGGATAGAGATGAGTGAGTATTGGTCATGTCTTTTTGTTGCCAATAGGTGTTCGTGTACCCTTGTAGTTAATTTTCTTCCTGTTTGTCCAATGTAGTGTTTGTCACAGTCTCTGTTTGTCACAGTCTCTGCAGGGAATCTTGTATATGACATTGGTCCTGTGGGTCTTTGGTTTGGGTGAGCAGTTGACAAAGGGTTGACATGGGTTTGTGTGCTACTCTGATGCCCAGTGGTCGTAGGAGTCTTGTGGTCAAGATACCTCTTCTAGGTATTCAAAGACAATGGATACCTGAAAAACTGGGTCAGAAGATGCCTTTCACACGAACAACACCAGGAAGATACTACACGCCCCAACACACTCATCACACTACCTTACACCAGGAACACTTTGGAACTGATCACAAGACTCCTACAACCACTGGGCATCAGAGTAGCACACAAACCCACGCCAACCCTTCGTCAACTGCTCACCCAAACCAAAGACCCACAGGACCAATGTCATATACAAGATTCCCTGCAAAGACTGTGACAAACACTACATTGGACAAACAGGAAGGAAATTAACCACAAGAATACACGAATATCAATTGGCAACAAAAAGACACGACCAATATTCACTCATCTCTATCCGTATGGATAAGGAGAACCACCAATTCGATTGGGACAACACTAGGATCCTGGGACAAGCAAAGCAGAGACAAGTATGGGAATTCCTAGAAGCCTGGTACTCCACAAAGAAAGCCATCAGCAAACACATAGAGCTAGACCCCATATACACTGCATTGCGAAGGAAAACCAAAAGTGAGGTAATCCAGCCCAACGGACACCAGAGCTCAAATAACAGATGGGAAAACACAACAACACTTCATCGGAGGCTGCACTGATGATGTTACCCAGCAGGGTAATGAAACGTCTGCGGAACAACGAACCAGCTCGGCTAGCCAACCAACCACAAAAAAAAACAAGCTTGAAAAGAATTTAACACTGTGGTAATAGTGTAAATTTACTGATAGGCACATCGCAACTGCAAGTTGTATGAGCCATACCAGGATGTACAATAAAACAGCACAGCAAAATAAATATAGTCATGTTCACTTGACTGAAAAACTGATAAAGGAACAAAACATGTAAGAGTGTACAATAAGATGTCAGCTGACCGGATGATCCCCTGACAGACGTCTTCAATGTGAGCATTCAGCATCATGTTCTCTAAGAACTCAAAGTCTGCCTGTCTGATTTTGATAGTCTTTCAAATTTTTGCTTGTTGCAATAAAATGCAGCATACTTTAAAGTGGGTCCAGCAGAGAAACCCCATCAGATGCAGACAGTATAATTTCATGGTCTGGAGAGTAATGGGCCACATAGGATTTTGTGGTCATATTGGTTTGAAAATTCTGCTGGATCTGCTTATCCCCTGAGCTGTGTTCCTGGACAAAGCTCTGTGCTAGATTTGCAAAGTTATAAATGTTTTCTAATTTATGGAACTATCATTAATCAAATATTTTGTTTCCATTGAGCTGTAGCTGGCATGGTGCTGTTCTTATATGACAAATACCATTTGACTTTCGGAAATACTTAAATTCCCTGCTGGTAGATGATGGCCAGTTATCTGTGACCGACACTTCCAGGAGTCCGTGTATTGCAAAAGATGCAAGCACTTTCTCTATCGTTGTCCCTGTGTTTGATGAATAAATTCTATGCCCGTGCAGCCACTTTGAGTGGGAGCCCACAATGACTAAGAACATTGATCTCATGAAAGGACCTGCTGAAGCTGATTGATTAATTAAACATAATTAAGTAATGATTAAATGTAAGCTATACCAATATTAACAAAAATGGTCTCAATAAGAATTTAAAATTAAAGAAGATCCAATATTTACTTTCTGCGCTAAATACAAATGCTATTTTTGAAGGGGTTAATGCATTTTCAAAACTTGAATGGTGTTACTTATCTTACAGCTGTTTTCCTGAATTTCCTTCTCTTCCAGGAATGGAAAAGACCTACTGTGACCAAATTGAATATATGACTAAATATTTTGAAACTGTGGATAATTTATACGTGTACAGTGGTCCAGCTGCTCGCATTCGACCAAAAAATGTTCCCAAGGACTATTTGACATGCAAGTACTATTAATGTAAAATACAAAAGGATCTGTTACAAATCATAGTTTGATTTACAACATAAACAGTGATGTAAATACCACTAGAGTGATACAACAGAAACAGTGATGTAAATACCACCAGCATGAGATGGGTAGAGCATTTAAAATTACAATTGCAAATACTCAAAGAAGATTAATACAAATTAGTTAAATTGATTTCCTATGTTATAAATTAACTGATAATTAACCTTTTTCTATGATATTAACTAAAGTTTTTGCTCTGTGAAGAATGTCTCTGTAGTAGCTCTTCTGGTCTTGCCCACACTTTTGGTAGGAAATCAGCGTAGCCTCCACAGAAAGAATGAAAGCAGATGAAAATAATGCCATTTCTCTGAAGGTTCGTTGGGTTTCCTGTTGTGGTTATGAGGCAAGACAAGAAGTACATTGACAAAATTTCAGGATAACATTTATTATTTCCTTTTTTTTGCATTTCCCTTTCTGCAACTTTTGTTTTCCAGAGTTTTCATTATTTTCCTTTTGTTCATTCAGCACCATATCATGCTGCCAACCAGAAGGATGGCTTCCCTCCTCCTGGATCTCTTAAATATTATTTCTATGTGGCCATTACAATGGCTATAATGACAATCCTACAGGGTGCTCGCTAAGGTTCCCTTTCATCTGAAATATCTGGTCTGTAATTATTGACTTCTCACAACGGTGAGGCCAGTATTGAGAGAGATCAGATGAGGAGATCAGTTTGCAACACACCATTTCATGATATTACCTGCAGCTGCTGAAACCTGCTGCCAATAGGCAAAAAAATGGTAGTGACTTATATGAGGTAGTTATCTGTTTGGCTGTTGGCTGTTTGGCTACTGAAAGCTAAACTCATAACATAGAAATACAATGAAGTGCTCCTCCAATGAAGTTTCTGGAGCATGGACTACCTGGTAAACCAAACAAAGGGAGCCCGTTGTTTGATGAATGAGCTGATTCCAGAAGGAACCACGATTAAGAGACCACAACTGACCTCATTGCTCCTGCTTTCTGAAATGACAAATGTGTGAGGGCTTCTCCTCTTGATCTATTTGCTACTATATTTTCAATGAGTAAACATTTGGTGTGCACTCCAATGCAGTGCACCCAAAAATTGCATATGGACATTTATAGCCTAGACTTGTACATGTAATATGGTGTCCAGAATGTGGAAGTGGAGGCCAGCAAGCTCTTGGAATTAAACCCAGGATGTGATTGCACCTTCCCAAGGAGCAGGATTTTGGGGCCCCACCAGTTGGAGAATCATTTGGGAGCCCCTGCATGTTGTGTTGGTCAGTCCTGCTAGAATAATAATTGGACACCACCATCAGGCTTCGCCTGGAAACTGAGGATCCCAGCAGTGGATATCCTACCAACCAAAACAATACTGGCCAATCAGAGGCCAGCAGCTACTCATCGTTCACAATGCCAATGAAAGCAATGACTGCTCATGGCTCTACACCCGCTAGAGGCCCAGAAATGGTTGTGGGACCATTGTTTTGTGAGAGCTGGTGGATGTTACAAGGGAGAGGGTGCCTCGAGGTTGAATGAGGGGTGGTTGACGTCGGAGGCAAGGGTTGAGGATAGTTTTCAAAATCCAAGCCACTCATCCCCAAATTTCTGAACTGGTACAGCATGCCTGTCAACGAGTACCCCGCAAACACCAACCCTGGAAATCTGCTGATTGTTGGTCGGCTGTTTAAAGTCATGGGAAAGCAGTAGAGCCCCCATTAAATCTCTGTGGCAGCACAAAATTGCAGTGGCTTGTGCATAATGATGTCAACTAGTTCATTAATGAGGCTAATTGACATCACACTGACAGGGGCAGGAAGCATGTCTTTCTGCCCTTCAAATTAATCAGGGGATGCTCTCCCACCATTAGTAGAGTGATGTGGGGCTATTCCCACACTTGAGTGAGTCCACTCACCATGGTTTCTTCTGTATTAACTCAAATACAAGCAGTGGAGGGCAAGGAAAAGATCAAACGAATGCACAGTAGCTCAGACCTCATTACCAGGTTTCTGTGGAATGACTGCATTGCTTTCTTTCTTTTTCAGTTGATTCAGAAGGAGTTGTTAAAAATCTTTCTGTAAGTAACATGATAGAAAATAATTTTCATTTGCTGTAAAGTGTTGGCTTGTTCCAGCCATATTGTACTTAATTACAGAAATTAGTAAAATTAATCTTCTTCTGATATTCCAGAATTAGGGTTTTTGCAATTAGAATAAAGAAGGTTGAAAGGATTAAAAACGCTGGAAGATTTTGAGAAGATAAACTATAAAACTTTAACCTCAATATTAGCACCTTTACAATGAAGAGGAGAGGTTTGGGGCAGATTAAGATTTGTTGAATGGTAACATGGCCTTTTTAATAAATGCTGGATACTGCAACATATCAGTGTCTCTCTCTTGAGAGGCTGGGCATTGCATTAACAAATTTTAATCCAGCTTCCACAGTACAATTGGGAATCTCATTTAAATTTTACCATTGGAAGACCAATTTTGCAAGGCTTGGGCAACTTGGTGCTGAGATAAAGGAGATACACACTGGCTCTTTATTTTGCAACACTCCTTGTGGGCTAGGAGGAGGGAAACTGCTTTGCCTAAGCCCTCAAGGAAGTGTTTTGGCCGTCATCATCCATTCGCCTCCCACTCCATCCTCCTCCTTACCATAATTGTGATCTCCTCATCTTTCCCTCATCTGTAAACCGCACACTGCTGATTTGCCACACACTTACTATCAGTGAGAAGAAAATTAGTTAAGTACCTAGGCCTGGACAGTGGTTACCACTGCTGCCTCACTGACGCAGGGACCCAGGTTCAAGCCCAGCCTCAGATGACTGTCTGTGTGGAGTTTGTACATTCTCCCTGTGCTTGTGTGGGTTTCCTCCAAGTGGTTTGGTTTTCTCCTGCCATCCAAAGTTGTGCAGATTAGGTGGATTGGCCATGTTAAGTTGCCCGTTGTGTCCAGGGATGCGCAGGATTAGCCATGAGAATTAGGTGGATTAGCCATGAGAAATGGATGGTTAGAGGGAAGGGGTGAGTCTAGCTGGAACGCTGTTTGGAGGGTCGGTGTGGGCTTGATGGGACAAATGGCCTGCTTTCACACTGTAGGAATTCTATGAGAATTTTACTTGAAAACCTGGAATATAGAAAGATACAGTGAAGTGTGGGACAGTGAGATTGAGTAGGTTCCTCCAAATAAGGAGCTAGTATCAACATAGGCTTGATGAGCCAATGGTCCTGTTTTGTGATGTAATTTTCATGCCATTAGAAACAAGAGCACAGGGCTATTTAGTAAGTGTCAAATAGTTAAGGCCTACTGTTGTACTATGTGAAAAAATATGTTATTAACTAGCATTTTTCAAATGGTACACAATTTCCTCGCTCTTTTTTGGTGGACAGAAAGTGTTTTGAACTCATTTCTAAATCATCCAATTTAAGGACTTATGTGAAACATGTCCGACAAATCTGGACATTTGCTAGTCCAATATGGCTTGGGAATACACAATTGATTGCATTGGGATAGGTTTTTGGAAGGAGATGGCTACTGAGAATCAAGCAATTTACTGATCCTGCAAACTAATCTCCATTAGGAGGCTCCTGCCTGCAGTATTATTCTTCTGGGGAATTATGAATGGGATGGGACCAAAACAACTGTCTGTGGAGGCAATCCTGAAATGAGTGAGTGGGTGGATGGATGCCAAAGCTGCAGAATAACACCCACCCCCCCCCCCCCCCCCCCCCCCCCCCACCGCCACTCTATTTATTGGAATGTTGGCCATAATGATGGGTGTCAGGTTCCAAAAACTTCTTCACTTGCTCCACACCAACCCATATGCTCTTATACTTCTTCATAACCCCTCTATGCCTTCCATTCCTTGTTCCCTCCAATCCCTTTCATATCCACATGCCAATTATATGCTCCATGCTTTGTCTGTTTCTATCATCCTGGTATTCACTATGTACGGAATCCCTAAGCCATTGAGAAGTCTGGCAAATTTTTGAAATGATCCAGAAACTGACACAGTAAACAGAGACTTTTAACAGATAACATGGAAAATAACTTCACACAACTTCTGAATTGACCACAGCCTTTCATATTAGCAACGTCAAAAGCTTTTTATTCACTTCAGACATCTTAATCTTGTATAAGTAAACACAGGCAGTGAAAATCTATTTGTAGAAACAATACATTATTGCAAATAATTTACTGTATGAATGGCATGCTACAAATGAATTGCTACGAAATTACAATTTGGGACCACATTGAAATGTTAACCTGCGTTTTCAACAAGTCATAATGACTTGGCATCCCTTTTAAACAAATGGGTGAGCCATAATTCCAGACTTCCAAACCACATTCCTGGGGTTTTCTGATTTTCACCAGGATTTTTTAAGGTGCCAGCTTTTAAGAATGCAAAATGAGGTTTGTCTGAAAGCCCAGATATCCATTAGACTTTTGAAATATTGAAACTCAGGAAATCATTTGTGATTGACAGCTCTGATTCTTTGATCTCTGCTGTCAATTGTAAAATGTGATTATAAAAGATTGAGATTTGAAGTCCTTGCATTCACTATTGTTGATACTTCAAAATTCTGTGTCATTGACAACTTTATTGCACGATAGTAAAATGACTTTTATGAAAGGTGTGAATGAATGAATGAATGAAGACTGTATTGTTACAGGAGTTACAGGATTTTTTTTAACAGTGTGGTTAAGTGAGAATGACTGCCCTTGACATCAGGGCTACATTTGACAGATTGTGATATCAAGGAGCCTTAGCAGAATTAACAGGGTCAATGGGAATTGGGGTGGAGAAATCTCTGCTGGTTGGAGTCAGGCCTAGAACAAAAGAAGATGGTTGCAGTTGTTGATCAGTCATCTCTCTTCCAGGAAGTCACCACAAGTGTTCCTCAGAGTAGTGCCCTCGACCCAACCATCTTCAGCTGCATCATCAATCTTTCTATCGTAAGGTCAGAAATGGGTACAATGTTCAGCACCATTTGTAGCTCCTCAGATACTGAAGCAGTCCATTTCCAAATGCAAAAGACCTAGGTAATATCTAGGCTTGGGCTTATAAATTGTGCTACACGAGTGCCAGGTAATGACCATTCCAACAAGAGAGAATCTAACCTTTGGTCTTTGACATTCAATAGGTATACATTTCTAAATCCTCCCACTTTCAATATCTTAGGGATTACCATTGATCAGAAACTGAACTAGATGCGCCACATAAATACTGTGGCCACCAGAACAGACTAGGAAGAAGAAACTAGAAATCCTGCAGCAATTAACTCATCTTCTGATTCTCTACATCCTGTCCACCATCTACAAGGCACAAGTCAGGATTATGATGGATTACACCCCATTTGCCTGCATGAGTGCAGCTCCAGAAACACACAAGAAACTTGATACCATTCAGGACAAAGCAGCCTGATTGAATGACACCATATCCAAAAACATTCACTCCCTCCACTACCAATGTACAGTAGCAGCAGTGTGTACCATCTGCAAATGCATGTAAGCCTTAGACATTATCTTCCAAACCCAGAGCCACTACCACCTAGAAGGACAAAGGCAACAGATACATGGGAACACCTGCAAGTTTCCCTTCAAGTCACTTGCAATCCACACTTGGAAGCATATTGTTCCTTCAGTGTTGCTGGGTCAAATTTTGGAATTCCCTCACAAATGGCATTGTCGATCTATCTACATCAAATGGAAGGCAGCAGTTCAAGAAGGTAGTTCACCATTACTTTACAAGGGCAAGTAGGAATGAGCAAGAAATACTGGCCCAGCCAATGACTCCCACATCCTATCAAGGAATGAAAAGAAATATAAACGCATCCTATTACCACCATTTTATTCATTTTGTCTAAACATTGTACACTGGACCAATGAACATGGCCATGCCACAGCTTGGCTTATGAGAAATGAGGTTGTTTCGGGACGGGGTGTGTGGTATGATGGGCATGGATGTAGCATGGGGACCATGTGGGCATAAGGGGTGAGAGCAATTGAGGTCCTTAACATTTTCATTATAATTGGCTCAATCATACCAGCTCTAAATTGAGACAATTAAACAGACTATCTCAATACTTGGCAGCCCCTTTAGCTATTTCCAAATTCTTTCCTAAGTTTACTACCCTGACTGCAGCCTGCACTGAACCCCCAAAATGAAGGTCATGTATGTGGGCATGTATTCCTGAGGCAGGCATGCAAACTGGGAGTTTTTCAGACTCCCCTTACCCACCATGAAGTGATGATCTAGGCCGTTGATTTCAAAACTGTCAAGCTTTCACAAGTGTTGTTATTAGAGATAAGTATTTTATAGGTAAATGTAATGCTGGTTATTTTTCTTATATTTCTTTCGTGTTATTAAAATTTTAGTGTCGGTATCCTAACCAACATTTCATACCTTATATGGCCTATGACTTGCCAAAACGTTTCCACTTTGCCAACAACATTAGAATAGACAAGGAAGTCCATCTGTACTTGGACAAACAGTGGCTGGCGGGACGGTATGTCATTCCAGTTTTCTCATATTTTCTGATTCATAATCTACTCTCCTTGTTACATTTACATGCCACTTTGCATTGTCTGCTGATCTCTATCTCTGTCTGATCTCCACTGTTCAGTTAGACAATATACAAACTAAAGAATTGTACAATTTAATTTCCTATCTTCTAACTGTACCCATAAGGATTCTGTTTGAATGCAATCTATCTGTGCATTCTAATACTGTTATAGATTTCCTCACTATTACCACACCCTACATTGAACTGTTTTATGTTCTGATTTCTTTCATTACATTTTGATGAGTAAGACCTGGTGGGTATTTCCTAAACTATTTACTTTGTAAGTCTTTATTTATGCAAATGTAGGGACTTACTTGGTTTTTTTTGAAAGTCTTCTAAAGTTTTAAACATTTAAAGAATTCATTCAAAAAAATAAGCTAATGAAGCCAAATAAGTTAAAGGTGAAGAGGTGGCAGTCAGTGGAGTAGTATGCTCCTCCTGTCAGATGTAGGAAACCAGGAAGCAGTCAAGTAACCATGGCGACTGTGCCTGCAAGAAAAGTGTGTCTGGCTGCAGCTCCTCTCAGACCACATGGATCTGTTGGAGCAGCGGTTGGGCACACTGAGGAGCATCCAGATTGATTGATTGATTTGGCTTATTGTCACGTGTACCTAAGTATCGTGAAAAGCTTTGTTTGTGAGCAGTACAGCAGATCATGGTAAGCAAGGACATACAGATCATAGGGTGAAGAAAACTTGGACAAAGTGAGCATACAGGTTACACTGCACAGGACATACACAAGGCAAGATCAACATTATTTGAAGTTGGGGAGTCCATTCATCAGTCTAATAACAACAGGGAAGTGGCTGTTCTTGAACCTGTTGGTGCGTGTCTTGAAGCTTCTGTATCTTCTCCCTGATGGAAAAGGTTGTTGGAGACCATTACAGGGGTGCAAAGGGTCTTTGGTGGCAGCCTTCCCATGGCAACTTGAATTGTAAACGGAGTCCATGGACGGAAGGCTGGCTTCCGTGATGGTTTGCAGTTTCTTACGGTCCTGGGCAGAGCAGTTGCTGTATCAGGCCGTTATGCACCCAGACAGTATGCTTTCTATGGTGCTCTGTAAAAGTTGGTGAGGCAGAGAATGTGGTAGATAGTAGCTTCAGGCAGATGGTCACACTGCAGGTTCAGTCAGCTAGATGGGTGACCATCAGAAGAGGTAGGCAGGTAGTGCAGGAATCTCCTGTGGCTTTCCATCTCTCAGACAACTTGGATACAGTTGGAAGGGAAGGATAGCGTCTCAGGGGGAAATAGCAGCAGCCAGGTCTGTGGCACAACAAATGTCTCTGCTGTAAAGCAGAGCATGGCTAAGTTGAAACAAGCAATTGTGATCGGCAACTCTCTAGTTAGGGGCATAGACCGGCATTTCTGCAGCCATGAGCAAGACCCGAGGATGGTGTGTTGCCTCCCTGGTGTCAGGGTCAAGGACACCTTGGAGCGGTTGCAGAATTTCTCAGGGGGTAGCATGAGCTGCCAGAGGTCGTTGTATACATTGGTACCAATGCCATTGGTAGAAAAACAGATGAGGTCCTGCAGGGTAAATATAGGGAGTTAGGACAGAGGTTAAATAGTAGGACTTCAAGGATAGTTATCTCTCGATTATTCCTGGTGCCATGTGCTAGTGAGAGTAAGAATAGGAGGATAGTGCATGTGAATGTGTGGCTGAGGAGCTGGGTCAGGGTTTAGGGATTCTGAATTTTGGATCATTGGGACCTCAGGCAAATGGGACTACTTCAGCTTAGGAAGTCTGCAGGACGAGCTGGGGTTAAAGGCCTGTTTACGTGTAGTATACATTTTTTTACTCTATGACTGCAAGCACAGACTTAAGTTGTAACAACTCTAGAACTAGTTCCTTGTCTTTAACAAATTCCTGTTACACAACCCTACATGAATGCTGAATCAAATCCAGCATCACAATTCTATTTATATTCAACCTAATAGTCCAGTCACTGGCAGAACAGATTTTTCCACTGGCCAGACAAAATATTCCCCTCTTATCCCCTTCTGATTTTACTGGCCAACCTTTTAAACAAAAATCCTTTTGTAACTAAGTTGACACAGGAATCCTTGGAGTGAGCAGAGGAGAGAATTTGTGTGGATGTGATGCTGCCTTTGGTGGCACCAACCATTGTATTCTTGTAAATACATTCGGATGTCCCAGATCCTCTTGGTGATTTACTGAGAGTGCATGAGATGAAGCGGGTCGGCTGGTAGGTGGTCAAGTCTTGCAAGTAGAAGGATCCTAGTTGGCAGGTGGTAGAGTAAGGGGTGTTCAGTGACAAGCAGGTCCAGCTGAATAGGAGAAAAGGTAGAGTATCAAGTGAGGGCTGAGGGGTCCTTGGAGGTTAAGAATGTATTGGGGGAGTAGCGGATGCCTGTTGCTTCAGTAGTGAGGTTGGATCAGGTGGTGCTAGAAGGTCATGGTGGGTTTGGCTGTTGTCAGAAGGTCAGGGAGTGGTCACAGCACCATGGGTGTAATCTGGGAATCAGTGGAGGTTGGAGCAGAAGGGAGATGAGAGTAGGTCAGGTCATATCAGGAGCTGTGGACTTCACTGTGTCGGGAACAGAGTTAGAGTTAGGTGTTGTTGGAGGTTTGTGGAGGGCTAGGGCAGAGTTACCAGGGCCAGGGTGTCAGTTCTTTACTTATTCAGAAATTAGACATTGTGTATTTTGGGGACTGACACCATAACTATGGTAAGGTCTGAGCGTTTCATATATATATTAGCACACGTAACATGCAACAAAGATAAGGTTCTTGTTTAGAGGGATGTCTTGACATTTATTGACAACATCATTTATTTACACTGTTGTAAGATCTCAGATTTAGAGAGTCTGGGTTCTGCGCTTACCAAAGCACTACCTGACTGTAATGTGTTGGACACGATACTTCCCTCAGCAGTTTGCTTTAAACACTTGCATCAATACTAGCATTTAATCCTTATGATCCATCAAAGCTAACGTCAATTTATAATAGATTAAAGACAAAATACCAAATTTTGATTAATATGGATCCAAAAGACACACTCCTATTTATTAATTTCTCTCAGTTATATAGTTTCCATCACAATAACTGCACTCAAGCACTTATTGTAAACAGTGACCAGTAGAAATCTTAGAATGACTTGGAAAATTTGTATGATCTGCCTCTATAGCATGCTAAAGAACACTTGTCACTGTATCTTGGCACATGTGACAACAATAAATCAAACTCAAACTCAGACTCAATATCTTTTTCTCTAACAGAGTATTCCTGTTTAGTACTGAAAGCTGCTTTAACTCATTATGTGCTTGTAGAGATTGGAACCAGGGCCAGGTAGATCTTATTGATTATGAGATCCTTGGTTGGCCCAGGTTAATAACCCCAATCAGGAAGCCCTGGCTGACAGATATAAACAGAAAATTCAGAAGCTTTCCTCAGTCTAGAGACTGGCTTTGAGCTGGCTGGTCAGAGCCCATGTTTTGTGCACATGTAAACAAAGGGTGACTTGGTGATGGGATACTGGCCTCTGTGCAGTTATTTCAGTGCTAATCGCACAAACACCAAGATACATTGGAATGCATGGGAAGTGAGAACCCATATTTCCACAGCTCACTTCTTCCATTTTCTCTCCTGCTCTCTCCCAAAAATGATGCATCCATGCATATTAAACTCCTAGTTCCATCTAAATTTAGGCACATTTCTATTCTAATGTTGTTTGTATCAACTCCTGCCAGTAAGTTTGCTGTTACACTCATCTTGCACAATCCTCACACATCCACAACAGCTTATCAGAAGCCACTATGTGACATTTGTCATCCAAATACAAGTAGGTAGACTCCTTTTCCTATTGCCCTCCACTTTGTCTTCTAGAAGAGATTACCCTGTCTTTTCAGTTCTGATCAAGCAACTGAAATACTGTCATTTTCTTTTCTGTAAGTTACTTTTTACAGTTATTTATGCTCTTGCAATTTTAAATACATTTTTCTTCTGGTCCCTCTAAGAAATTTTAGCATACTTAGCAGCCACAGATCTTTACATATCGTCCAAGTTTCTGAGGAATACATGAATGTGGATAGAATCTAGCATGTTAGAAGATTTTCCTTGTTACAAGCTTGAGTTTTCTTTTGTTAACACATCCTTCATCTTCATGAAACGACTTCTGACTATCTCTATCCTTCTTTTAACTGCTACGTTACATTTGCCAACTTCTGTTATCATATGCTCTAAATAGAACAGCGTATCTACTTATTGTACGTCAATCTTCACTCTAGTTGCTTTTAATGTATTCCTTCTGATTATCATTTTTTATTGTCTTTTTGGTGCTCATTCTCAATCTATATGCTAAACATTAAAATTTTATATTTTGTAGGGTCTTTTCTAATTCCACAACTAGTGCCATGTTGTCAGCATGCTGCAAGTTTGTTATGTTCTTGCTTCTAATGTTTACCTCTGGAAGTACAATTAATTCCCTGAATGTTTATTCTTGTACAGATTGAAGAATTTTGGTGACAGTATGCAGCCTTGGTGTATTCATCTCTTCAGCTGAAACATATTTTATTTTACTTTATCCAGCTTAATGCTTGCCATTTGGTATAAATATAGCCTCTGAATAATTCTGACATCTTTAATGCAATGTCACATTTCAGTAACACATTTGTTAACTTTTTGTGATGAACTCAATCAAGGCCTTTATCATAGTCTATAGAACAGAGGTTCTGATTTATTTCTAGACATCTTTGGAACATTGTACTTAGGTTAAATATCCCATCTCTTGTTACTACTCCAAGTACAAATCCAAACCCTGATTTTAAAAGTAATTATTTATTTTTTCATCTTTAAAATTATAACCTGCCCTTCAATGTCTGTAGTTTTAACATTGACTACCCAATAGGATAAATAAGTAAATGGAAACAAGCAGGCTAACTGTTCAGTTTTAACTCGAATAGATGTATTATCACATTCTCTTTTTTCCTCTAGTTTCAAACCTAAGCCTTCCTCGACCTTGCTATATTTTGGGTTTGTTCCTTCTGCAGGGACATTGTTGCTGCCTTAGATCTAACACAGGCTATCCCTTTGCTACATACTTCTGATATTCAAAATATTGCCCCAATACCCCAAGAACGTAATGCCTTTCTTCCTGTAACACAATTGCAAGCATATGGGGTGTCCTCACATAAAGCTGGGTTGTGATCCTGAAATGGTGACTTTAACTAAAAAGACTTTAAGTGAAGCGTTGATTCTCTTAGAAATCAATGTCAAGGCTAAAATTAGATGGGATATTTAACCTAAGTACAATGTTCTAAAGATGTCTAGAAATAAATCAGAACCTCTGTTCTATAGACTATGATAAAGGCCTTGATTGAGTTCATCACAAAAAGTTAACAAATGTGTTACTGAAATGTGACATTGCATTAAAGATGTCAGAATTATTCAGAGGCTATATTTATACCAAATGGCAAGCATTGAGCTGGATAAAGTAAAATAAAATATGTTTCAGCTGAAGAGATGAATACACCAAGGCTGCATACTGTCACCAAAATTCTTCAATCTGTACAAAATTAGGTTCATAGGAACTTCATTCACGGAAAAATAAAAATCATTTCTGTGTGCCTTCTAAATTAATATACAGTTCCATGTGTACTTTAAAAGGCTAAATTCCTACATTGGTAAATGAAATAGTTAAATATTCCTAATTTCTTCTTTAAAACCTTCAAGGTACTTCTACTATGTCACAAAACAAAAATTGCCAGAGAAACTCAGCAGGTCTGGCAGCATCTATGGAGAGAAAGCAGGGCTAATATTTTAAGTCCGGTGACCCTTCTTCAGAATTGATAGTAGCTAGGAAAAGGTGGTATATATGCTGAGGAGAGGGATAAGTGGGGGAGCAGGAGTGAATAGATAGGCAGAGATGGATGCCAGAGAGAGAGAGAAAAAATAACAGGCAAACAAAGGGATGAATGATAATACGCCAGGAAGAAAAGCTGAGAATGACGACCATAAGTAAATGAAAATGTGTTGGCTGTGCCGAAAGTAGCCCATGTCACGACAGGACCTGGGGTGTAGGGGTGGGTAAAGGACATCATTGATTTCAAAGTGGACCATGAATTTTGGCAGCTCTGTCTCATTTCTGTCATTTATCCTGACATAAAAGAGGCAATATACTGTCAATGATTGCTAAAATGACTAAACAAACTCCTAATTATAGAATCTTCCAAAATTATCTTCTTTCTATTCTTATAGTTCATTCTTTCCAGGTTATATAGTTTTTCACCCTGCAGTGCTGCTTTATAAACTAGATCATCCTCTCTTGAGTTGTTTGATCTCATTTCAGACGAAAGTTATAAAATTATTGCACAAATCCAGCATCCCAGATTTTTATGTATCAATTTCCATGATACTGCCATAGGATAATCATACAGTTCTTTAGTTGTACATTATTCTTATACCCTCAACTGCACAATGTTATCTTGTTGGTGACTATGAGCTTCATCTAAAAATCCCTGACCATTTTAATTGCTATGCTATGTGGCTATTTGTTTTTGAAACATTGAAATCTTCTCTAGTTTCTGATTTTCAGGCACTTTGTAGAGCCCGTAGATGAACTGGAGATTTTGATGGGCCACATGTTGTACTCCATGCCTATCACTAGGCTACAATGCCATCCTTTTGTATTTCACCTGAAAAGTGTTAACTTGAATGCCCACTGACACCAAATCCACACAAGCAGCTCACTCTTCAAACTCAATTCACATGAAACAGCAAAATCCAGTCCAACAGCATCTCAAGCCTAAATTCACACTTACGATAAACTACCTTCTCTCAGTTTTTGGGAGCATAGCTTGTGATGTGCAATCTACATCTAGATCTATTAAGATAAAGAGCATTCAAACATTGTACTGTCTTGTTTAAATGATTTTAGTGTGCAAACTAGTATGGACTGGCTACACACGTGACTAGCATATTTCACTTAGCCAGAATGTCTTAAAGACAGTGGGCTCTAGAGAGAAGGTGCATTTGTTATTTAGAAGTGCTGCAGACTGTAGAAGACTTAGAAATAAACAAAAACAAAGAAAATAGAGCAACAGTTAAAAGGAATGGTAGTCAGATTTTCTGACTTGGAACTGAAGATATTAGCTGAATTGAACTGAGTTTCCTCAGCTTCTCTGGCAAGCTTCCACCAATAATTACAATGGTTCTGAAATGGGCCAAGACTTAGATATGCCAAGTTCCAACCACAACTGGAATTTTTCACTTGAGTTTGCAAAATTATAAACTTCTGCCCATCCATCACAAGGCTAGTGACTTAGAGCTTGAGTTTGAAAATAGGAATTCCTGCTTTCCCAAGGCAAATAATGAAAAGAGCTGTTCCTGTGGACACACAGGTATCATCCACTCCAGGAAATGGGCAACTGTTATATTCCAGAATTTTTGGTCATTTCTGTTAATTAGGTGCAAATCAGGCATTCTCCTGTTGACTCTGAATTCTCCTTTGGGAATGACAGTGGAAGCTATCATTGTGTTCAGGCAATTAATCTTTATGCCCGGATCTTTTCCATTCTATACTTATCATACTCCTGTTCGCTTACAGAGTTTCTGTTTGAAAAATCTTTTTCAGAGATCCAAAGACATTCAATTTCTGTGGTGGTGGAAATCATGGCTATGATAATGAATACAAAAGCATGCAAGTAAGTACTGTACATGTATAACTTGCAACCGCCATATTGGGAGATTGTCTTCTCTGTCCTGGGTAAAGCTAGAATGCATTCTTTATAAATATGGTATAGTTTTGGAACACAACTACCCAACTTCCAACTGACATGCTTGGGTTATTTTCCTGTGTGTGCATTCTTTATCATCCATCATAAATATGTATAGGAAGATTATTTATCATTGACATTGTCATAGAACAGAACTTTGTAATTATCTTTCAGTCCCACTTACACATATCACAAAGATGGCTGTTGTGGGAAGTGGGTAATTTCAGATGTATGCAGCCGGATATGGGCCTCAATTTACACAACCCTGCATCTGACAATGGGCTCATGTAACCGCAGAATGGTTGATGCTGATGCTGATGCTGATGCTGATGCTGATGCTGATACAGAGGAGATGTAATTTTATTAGTCCTTTTTTTTTAACAGCAGCAAACTTCACCTTCTGGGAATGCATATTAAAATGTTTGGATTACAATGTCCACAAACCTCTGACCATGATGAGACAATTGTGTGGAATGAGCACCTGAATTTCCAAAATGCACTTTCAAAAGTGAGGGACGCACAGGAATGACATTATTTTAGAGTACCAAAATTGACAAAGCTACTTAACCATCTTGAGTAGAAAAATATAAAACTGTTATCATCAGGGATTTCTGCCAAATCACCAAAAGTTCTTGTAAGTAATTAAATGCAAACCAGAATTTCTTTTTGAAGTCATGGGGCCCCTAAGTGTCCACTAAAATTTTCTGTTGCAGATTTTACTACAGAATTAGGCCTTGTGCTCACAGGAAATTTTCTTTTACAAGCTCTGAGGACAACAGTTCACATTTAATATATGTTTTCTCCAGGTAATGAACAAAGTAATGCATTTTTGAGCTATTCGTAGTAACTATGTTTTTCCTTGATGGTATATTTTAGGCTGTCTTCATAGGTAATGGGCCAGGCTTCAAATATAATACCATGGTTGATCCATTTGATAATATTGAACTCTACAACCTAATGTGTGGTACGTACTTTCACTTAAATAAACATATTCATAGCACAAAAATTTTACTTCAGCTCCAACTTACTGCTGATCTATCGCTGAAAGTTGGATATAAAATGTAACATTATGTCTGTTTTTGTATGGTAAGAATTCATCGGAAGGCACATATCTTCAATAGTGCTGCAGTGATTCAGAATGTCCGTCAGGATAAATGATTAACAGTAGTGAAGCAAAGTGTCCTGAAGGAAATCTATCTCATCGCTGAGGACTGAAAAAGATCATGAAATAATAGGGTAATTATTTTTGTGTGATGACATCCACATACGCCCCAGTGCAGATGTGAAACAGTAACATTTCATTTTCTCGGGGGTAAACATGATGGGACAGATAAAGACTGCAAATAGGTGTGATTTATTTTTAGGGTACTCTATATTTCACTTACCTGTACCATCTTGCTATGATTTTACTCCCACTTCCCATTTCCTCACCAAGCTCATTCTGCTTGCAATAAAACAAGGATGTGAAATATCATTATTAGGAGTACTAAAATAAATATTTCAGGTGGCCAACTTCACATACAATAAAATACTTGCAGTGGAATAATGGCATTTCGGACTATTCTGCCAAGTATTGTAACTTAGAATTCAACATCAGTTTCTGTTTTATTACTGTTACTTGCAACTTATATTCGAACTATGTTTCAGCTCTGGGCTGAAAGATGAAATACCATTTCATGTTTGGTGCCTGTCAGACTATGTTGTGCAAGTGCCAGCAAGTTGTGACCTTTTTTTTTGTTACTTTTTGTCAAGACTGTACATTTTCTGCTAACAAGGCAGTGCTTCTCCAAGGAATTATAAGGAAGTCAACTCTGTGAAAGTGACTATTCGGCAATAACCTCAATAAAAAGAGACAAATTATGTATGATTTGCTGGTAATTTGGAACTAGAAATCCAGAGACTGAGGCTAATGCTCTGGGGACATGACTTTGAAACCCATCACGGCACATGGTGAAATTGGAATTAAATATTAAAACAACATTGGAATTGATAGACTCTTACCTGCCCTCTGAAATAGTCTGGCAAGCCACTCAATTCAAGAACAGTTAGGGATGGGCAACAAATGCTGATCTTGGGGCAACTATGCCCATTCCGTTAAGGAATAAACAAAATAGAAAATATAAACTTGATACTCCATGTACTCCCAGTCTGAAAAATAAATAACCGTGTAATCTAATGCAGATGAACATTAAGTCAGATCTTATGCTGAGTAGTTGAGCCAGAGGACATTGAGATTCCCAGTGTCATAATTTAGAAAACTTGTTTTAATTTCATAATATCTACAACGAAAGCTTACTTTTAGATAACTCCTTCAAAGTGATAAAACATCCCAACGCATTTTACAGGAATATTAGCAAACAAAATTCATCAGAGTCGTAGGCTTTGAAATTTGTCTGATTTTATATGAAATAATTACAGTAATATAATAATATAAGAATATCAGAGACCATTACCTTGATACTTAGCTTCACAACTACAAAAGGATCAAGAATTGCAAAGTAGAATCTGATGCAGCAGTTATAACACTATTCCTTCTGACATCTGGCCCGTCATGTTTAGGTTGATGTTCTGATATGACTGCAGGCAGCAGCTGCCAAATGCTTAGACCCCAATGGTATTAAAATGAGAAGCATGTACCTGTCAGAAACTACTGTCGAATAGAGTCATAGAGTCATACAGCACGGAAGCAGACGCTTCGGGCCAACTCATACATGCTGACGAGCTATCCTAATCTGACCTAGTCTCATTTGCCAGCATTCAGCCCATATCTCTCTAAACACTCATACAGATGCCTTTTAAATGTTTTATTTGTACCAGCCTCCACCACTTCCTCTGGCAGCTCATTCCATACATGTGCCACCCTCTGCATGAAAAAGTCGCCCCTTAGGTCCCTTTTAAATCTTTCCCCTCTCCTTAAACCTATGCCCTATAGTTTTGGACTCCCCTGCCCTAAGAAGAAGACCTTGACTATTCACCCTATCCATGCCCCTCATGATTTTATAAACCTCTAAAGGTCACCCCTTAGTCTCTGATGCTCCAGGGAAAAAGCCCCAGCCTATTCAGCCTCTTCATATGGCTCAACCCCCCCCGTCCTGGCAAAATCCTTTTAAATCTTTTCTGCAACCTCGCAAGTTTAACAACGTCCTTCCCATATCAGGGCAACCAGAATTGTTTGCAATATTCTAAAAGTGGTCTCATCAATGTCCTGTATAACCATAATATGACATCCCATGCGAATCACCTTCTTCACCACCCTGTTTACCTGCAACTCAACTTTCAAGGATCTATGCACCCTCAACTCCAGGTCTCTGTTCAGCAACACTTTCAGGGTCCTACCATTAACTGTATAATTCCTGTCCTGGTTTGCCTTACCAAAATACAACACTTCACATTTATCTAAATTAAACTGCATCTGCCACTCGGCCCATTGGCCCATCTGATCAAGGTTGTACACTGAGATAATCTTTTTCACTGTCCACTACACCACCTATTTTGGTGTCTTCTACAAACTTACTACCTATAGCTCCTATATTCACATCCAAATTGTTTATATAAATGATGAAAAACAATGGATCCAGCACTGATCCTTCTGGCACATGGCTGGTCATAAGCCTCCAAGTCCCACCTTCACATTGAGAACAACCTCTATCATGTTGTGTGGCACTGTCACTGTGCTAAATGGGACAGACTTTGCACAGATCTAGTAACTCAAGACTGGGCATCCATGAGGCGCTGTGGGCCATCAGCAGCAGCAGAATTGTACTCCAGCACAATCTGTAACCTCATGGCCCAGTATATCCCTCATTCAACCATTACCATCAAGCCAGGGGATCAACCCTGGTTCAATGAAGATTGCAGGAGGGCATGCCAGGAGCAGCACTAGGCATACCTGAAGATGAGGTGTCAACCTTGTGAAGCCACCAAACAGGACTACTTGCATGCCAAAGAGTATAAGCAGCAAGTGACAGACAGAGTTAAGTGATCGCACAACCAATGGATCAGATCTAAGCTCTGCAGTCCTGCCACGTCCAGTCATGAATGGTGGTGGACAATTCAACAACTCACTGGAGGAGGAGGCTCCACAAATATCCCCATCCTCAATAATGGAAGAGCCCAGCACATCAGTGCAAAAGATAAAGTTGAAGCATCCGCAGCAATCTTCAGCCAGAAGTGCTGAGTGGATGATCCATCTCGGCCTCCTCCAGTAGTCCCCAACATTACAGATACCAGTCTTCAGCCAATTCGATTCACTCCACACAAAAGCAAGAAACGGTTGGAGACACTGGATACTGCAAAGGCCACGGGCCCTGACAACATTCCAACAATAGTACTGAAGACTTATGCTCCAGAATGTGCCACTCTCCAAGCCAAGCTGTTCTCGTACAGTTACAACACTGATTTCTACCCGACAATATGGAAAATTGCCCAGCTATGTCCTGTACATAAAATGCAGGACAAATCCAATCCGGCCAATTACCACCCTATCAGTCTATTCTCAATCATTAGGGAAGTGATGGAAGGTGTCATCAACAGTGCTACCAAGCAGCATCTGCTCAGCAATAACCTGCTCAGTGATGCCCAGTTGGGTACCGCCAGGGCCACTCAGCTCCTGACCTCATTACAGCCTTGGTTCAAGCATGGGCAAAAGAGATGAATTCTATAGGTGAGGCAGGAGTGACAGCCCTTGACATCAAGGCTGTATTCAATTGAGTGTGACATCAAGGAGCCCTTGCAAAACTGGGATCAATGGGTATCAGGAGCAAACTCTCCACTGTTTAAAGTCACACCTGACACATCGGAAGATAGTCATAGTTGTTGGAGGTCTGTCATCTCAGCTCCAGGACATCTCTGCAGGAGTTCATCAGGGTCGTGTCCTTGGCCCAATCGTCTTCAGCTGCTTCATCAATGACCTTTCTTCTATCGTAAGGTCAGAAGTGGGAATGTTTGCTGATGATTGCACAATGTTCAGCATCATTTGTGACTCCTCAGATACTGAAGCAGTTCGTGTTCAAATGCAGCTAGATCTGGACAATATCCAGGCTTGGGCTGACAAGTGGCAAGTAACATCGGACCACACAAATGCCAGGCTATGACCATCACCAATAAGAGACAATTTAACCACTGCCACTTGGCATTCAATGGTGTTCCCATCACAGAATCCCCCACTATCAACATTCTGGGGATTATCATTGACCACAAACTCAACTGGACTCACCACATAAATGCAATGGCTACAAGAACAGGTTAGAAGCTAGGAATACTGCAGCAAGTAACGCACCTCCTGACTCTTCAAAACCTGTCCACTATCTATAAGGCACAGGTCAGGGGTGTGATGGAATACTCCCCACTTGCCTAGATTAGTGCAGCCCCCAACAAGAAGCTTGACACCATCCAGGACAAAATAGCCCTCCTGTTTGGCACTACATCCACAAGCATCAACTTCCTCCACCATCTATGCTCAGTAGCAGCAGTGTGTACTATCTACAAGATGCACTGCAGAAATTCACCCTAGATCCTCACACAGCACCTTTCAAACCCACGACCACTTTCATCTAGAAGGACAAGGGCAGCAGATATATGGGAATACCAATACCTTCAGGTTCTCCTCTAAGCCAATCACCAACCTGACTTGGAAATATACCACCATACCATCACTGTCACTGGGTCAAAATCCTGGAATTCCCTCCCTACTGGCATTGTAGGTCAACCCACAGCAGGAGGACTGCAGTGGTTCAGGAAGGCAGCTCACCATCACCTTCTCAAGGGCAACTAGGGATGGGCAATAAATGCTGGCCATCTAGCAACGCCCACATCCCACAAGTGAATTAAAAAAAAATCCATCCCTCTGCCTTCAAAGATCATTTAAAGATTTTAAAATCATTTTGTTCGGTTAGATGAAGCATGCATACTTTTTTTAAGACACGCTGCAGCCATTTCCAAGATCATCTTTCACTTCTGTTTCCT